TACTTACTGAGATTTTTTAAAATTTATATAACATTTTTTTTTTAAATACTACTTAGAATGCTGCAGCATTTTAAAATGCTATAGGAATGCTGTAGCATTCTTTAAAAAAAAAAAAAAAAAAAAAAAAAAAAAAAAAAAAAAACTCTAATACGACATATATTATAAATTGTTTTCTTGATCAAATATTCAAATCTTAACATATCTGTTTATCAAATCATATGGATATATATATATACTTACTCCGTAAGTTTGCTTACTAACAACCATAATCCACAAAACCATTTAACATATAGTTTTCGAATTATAATTAGCAAAACTATTTATAACATAAAACTGATTGCGGAAATATTTGCGGGCGGTATCCATTCCCATCTCCACCATTCATCCGCCGCTCGCCATTGCCCTTCAAGGATTGCTGATAGGTTTCTTATCTACAGCATGAACATATCTGATTGAGCTTTCGCTCAGCAAGTAGGAACTATCTCTCGTAAAATAGCTGTAACTACACATGAATAAATATGCATGAGCTGATTATGCTTAATTATGATGTCTTATCATAGTCTTATTATCTTATCTTTCTTACTGATGGCCCCGAGTACTCGTACCACTTGCGCGTAATCATCGGGACGTGAGGGTTTGCAAGGTCCCCTATGACACCGTGATTATAACTGAACTGAATGCCTCCCTCTCAGAGGACATTATTATATTTTTTTTCTTCTCCCTTGGGAGCCTGAGTCACCTCCCTCTCAGAGGCTAGTATGGCACTCAACTGAGATTATTCTTATAAGTTCTTCTTGACTTATTAAGGTGTATGCAATATGACATAACATAGCATACTATAACATGAAATGTACTCAAACACATATAATTCATGTGCACTGGTTAAGTGTATGCAGAATGACATAACATCGTATACAATACTTAAAGCATAAACATGCATATATAACATGTATAACTTTTTCTTTAAAATCTATTCATACTGTAGGCGAGATTCCTACTTACCTGATTTACAGAGCTAGAATCCACTTTTCGCCAAACAGTCTATTCTCTTACTTGCTTACTTCTGAAAATGAACACTCATTGAGAGTGTGAGATTATCTGACGTTTGCTATTCTATTTTAGCAGCTTATGAAGGAAATATAGCCCTTTACTTAAGGCATGTATTATTATCCTTTACTGAAGGATAATTTACTATAAGGATCAATTTATTAAATCCTTAAAATCTTATTTTTCTTAATTGCCCTTAACATACTTATGTCTAGATTGAAAATCATTTACCCAATCTAGTAACTTATTCTCCATAATTTTCCTCATTGGACTTATTATGGTATTAAGGCCCAATTCGGCCTAGAAACTTATTCACGGCAATCCAACTCTTAGGCAATTGAAAATTTAAACTCAAACAGGGCTGTTGAACTAATACGGGCATTGGACCGCATCTAACTTTAAAATTCTAGGAGCCTAACATATTTAGCTCGCAAGTGCCCATCGGGGTGTTTTGCCCAAAAACTATTAAGCTTTTAAAAGAAACTATCGTTCAATTTTTTTTTTATAAAACCGATTACTCACTTATTTAGTTACAAGCACTAAAATCCCATTATAAAATCTATTTTCGACTACCGACTTTTGAAACTATTTCACAAGTCATTTTACGGTTAATTTGTAAACCACCGTGAAACTATGTTGTAAAAACTATTTTTTTGAAATCTTTCTTCACAGTTATTCCTCGTTCAAGTGAGGTCTAAAACCATAGTATTTTACTGAAATCATATCTCAGGTTCTTTGATAACCTTTTGTTAAAACCAACACTGTGTTAGTTTTATTTAATTAAAACTGTGCAGTTTTTGAAATCTGTGTTTTACTACATCTTAGGGTCGGATTTTGAAAATTTGTTCTTCACGACAATTCTTCGCCTCGTCGAGATCTAAAATTGTCATTTTTAGAGAAAACTAAAATTCAGTCTCTAGAGGCCTCATTTGGCTGAAAACAGTGGCTGCAGTTTTTCCCAAAACTGTGTTGGATAGCCTGTCTCATTTTTACAAAATGGCTTAAAACTTGCATTTGGAGTTAAAATTGGGTTTTGTCACAATCACAGAAAAACATTCAAAACGTCGACAACCATAAGTTTGAACTTAGAAATACTGAAAAATCTCACTCTAGGGTCCTCATTTTCGCATTCAAAGTAACCAGAAAATTTTTCCTCCAACCCAAAATAAGCAACTTAAACCAAACATAAGCCTACCACATAATACTAATCCAACTAACCTCAAAACACACAAAACCAACTTAAAACTCACACACCCTTATTACAAACCATAGCCTCAAAGGACCATAATTTACCTCCATAATTTCAAGCTTAAAGTTGGCTAGAAAAATAATGGAGAAGAGTTCAAGAATTTACCCTTGAAGAACTCTCTCTTGAAAACCTTTGAAATCCTCCTCTTCTCCTCCAACTTAAGCTAAGATTTATGGTGAGATATATGAAAACTTTTGAGTGTATGTGGACTAGAGGAAGGCTCGGTTTGGTGAGGGAGAGTGGAGAAAATTTTGGAGGCTTGAAATTGTAGTGAATCTAGTTTTGGTGCGGAGAAGAAAAGAATAGAGTAAAAGTGGGACCTAGCTTATGATGGCTCTATTTATAGACAAGTTGGTAATCATTTTTAGCACCAAGTTAACTCCATTAATCAACTAAATTTTTTGGTTCAAATCCCTTAAGCATGGCCGGTCTAGGTGGGAGAAAAGAAATGGTAAGTATGCCATGATTTCTCTTCAACCACTACCATCACATCACTTATCATCATGAAATCTTCTAGCACACTCAAGTAACCAAAACTTTTGCTAAAACCTCCTAACATGGCCGGCCAAGATGAGAGAAAAGAGTGAAAAAGATTGTCATGATTTATCTTCAACTACTACCATCACATCACATCTCATCCAACTAAACTCTAACCTACCCATTGTACTTTTGTCTAATCTCTTAAATTTCTCTTGCATCAGATAAAACTTATATTGACTGGAAGGAGGTACTTAGCCGACATGAAATTTTAGTTTCTGACGGTTCCTTTTCTACTGCTCATTTACAGTTCAATATTAATCCCCGACTACTTCGATATTACATTAAATTCTTACTCGCGTAATATTTTGAACTGTTTCAAGTCTTGAAATTAATTCTAGACTGAACAAATTCTAAATTTAGATTTCTGCATTATATCCCGAGAATGACATTATTTTTGACAGTGTCAACTCCCGCTCACATAGTACCCTTCTACTATAGGTATTTATCTTGTGACTTTAACCTAGCTGTCTGGCAATTAAGGATTTTCTCTTCTTTTAAAATGTCAGAGCATTTTTTTATACGCTGCTAACATCATACTATGTTTGGAGATTCTTGGAATTAAGATTCTCAAACTACATATGTACTGAAAATTCTTCTGCCTTAGAGTACAGCGAGAAGTTATCGATCGAATTTACTTGATCGTAAATCATGAACTTAGCATGAAATCTGCTACAGAATTTAGGAACACAGACGTTAATTCCATAAATCCTTTAGTCAGAAAATATAACATAGTATTTTCTAGGAAAATCTTTGGCTTAAATACATAAATTGTATTATTTAAAGTCTGAGATTTTCTCAGTCATTACATTAATTGCCATTCTCCTTCGATTATCATATGTTGTAGCTGTTTACGTTTTTAATTTCCTGTCACGTTCTCTCCGTTTGTCAATTTAACTTCTGCTGCCATTTTTCATTTGTTGTCATTTTCTGTATTTGTTGTCAATTTAACTTCTGTTGTCGTCTTCAAATTGTCTTCCACATGTGCTCACATCCACTCGGTGAGACATATAATAGCAATAACAACAACAAGTTTTAATCCTAATTTAATTGGGGGCTATATGGATTTCACTTTTTCACGCAGCTCTGTTCGAAATTTAACTTTCCTGAAGGCCTAGATCTAAAATGTCTTTCCTAACTATTTCGGTCCATGTAATTCTTAGTCTACCCCTCCCTCTCCTAGTATTAGGTATAAGAATGTCCTCCTAAGCACAAACTGGTGCTTCTAGCGTTGGACATGCCCGTACCACCTTAAGCGGCATTCGTGCATCTTATCTTCTATTGGTTCTACACCTATTTTACTACAAATAAATTTATTGCTTATGCGATCTATTCTCGTATGACCACTCATCCATCTTAATATACGCATTTCTGCTACACTCATCTCAGATATATGTTGTCTCTTAATGGCCCAACATTTACTACCATATAACCTAGCTTGGCGGATTACAGTCCTATAGAACTTTCCTTTCAACTTAATAGGCATCTTGCCATCACATGAAACTCCCATAGCATTCTTTCACTTGACTGACCCTGCCTTAATCCTATGTTGAATATCCTCTTTTATATCTCCTTCGTACTGCACTATAGACCGGAGGTATCTAAATTTCCTAGAAGCCCCAATCTCCCATCATCTAAAGAAATTCTATCACTCTGATTACTTGAGTTACTAAACCTACAATCCATGTATTCAGTTTTCGTCCTACTTAACTTAAATCCATTCGTATTGAGAGTCTATCTCCACATTTCTAATTTACGGTTAACTCATTCCACTTATTCATCAACTAAAACTATATCGTCCGCAAAAAGCATACACCAAGGAACTCTATCTTAAATTTCTCTTGTCAACTCATACATCACGATGGTGAAAAGATAAGGACTAAGAGCAGATCCTTGATGAAGGCTGATCCAAATAGAGAACTCTACTATGTAACCTCCAGCAGTTCTCACACTCATGACCACCCCATCGTATATGTCCTTAATTACGTTGATATACCTCACATGCACTCCTCTCTTTTCAATGGATTAAAATTCAACATATAATAGCAAAGGATTAAATTTCAACATCAAGATGTACAACTCCATAATATCATAAACATGTAATTATGCTACGATTAATGCAAGCGAAACCTTGAAATCAACAAGAATACAGCCAGAGAAGGGAAAAAGAAAGTACATTTGCTGGTTTTAAATATCTTAAGATATTGAAGAAGCCATTGCTTGGTTAAAGTTTGATCTTCTGATCACTATTGGTAGCTAATTGGAACAAGTTTAAGAGGGAATTTCTTATGGATTGCAAGTCCAGATGCCTCATCCATGTCAATATCTGTCTCCTCCATCCCATCAGGCAATTTCCAGTCAAAACAGCACAAGAGGTTTGCTAGTGTGAGCTCCACCATAGCAATTCCCATGTAAATCCCAGGACAGCCTCTTCGACCGGCTCCGAATGGCAAGAACTCGAAATGTTGCCCTTTGTAATCAATGGAGCCATCAGCAAACCTCTCAGGGATAAACTCTTCTGGATTATCCCAATAATTTGGATCTCTTCCTATTGCCCAAACGTTAACTTGAAGCAGAGTTTTCGGATAAACATCGTAACCGAAAAGCTTAAATTGGGACATGGTTTCTCTTGGTAACAAAAGTGGGGCTGCAGGGTGCAGCCTCATAGTCTCTTTGACCACCATTTTCAGATAGTCAAGTTGATGAATTTCGCTTTCACTGACTAATTCTCCTTTCTTGACACGAGTTCTGATTTCATCTTGTGCTTTCCTCATCACTCTTGGGTTCCTAGCAAGCTCTGCCATTGCCCAAGTTATGGTTACGGCACCAGTGTCCACTCCAGCCAAGAATATATCCTGGGACACATAAAACACAAAACTTAACGCGGTTCATCAATATATGTAGAATTTAGGAGCAATATAAATATAAGTTACTATCACACAAAATCGAGTAAGTTATCCGAAATTATAAAATCTATTAATATCAAGATATTTTCTTATGTGTAAATTGACATAAATAAGTTCAAACTACCAATAAAAAGTAATAATACATAAAATATTTTCCTCCATAAAAGCAACACAGCTTGCTTTATTAGTTCCACGCTTAAAGAGTACTATTAAAAACATAGACCAGTAGAACAAGAAAAAAAACAAAAATAACAAAAATAAACAACCACTATTTCATTTGGTGTGGGAAGAAGGCTACTCCTTGTCCTCAACATGGTCTTAAATTTGACTTAGTCCCATTCTGGTAGATAAGGTATATATTAATCCTTTTTTTTTTTTGGTTGAAAAGAAACAATTAATAAACAAAAGTTAATAAAACACTTGTGATGGCTTACCATGAGGAAAAGAAAAATTCTTTAATAGTGGTTTTCGACAAATGTTAAAAATTGCTTTTACAGTAGTTTCCAGAGAAAAAGTAAACTAAACAAAGTGAACAACTAATAAAACAAGTGTGATGGTTACCATGAGGAAAAGAAAAGAAAAAAGGTTAAATAAACAAACAACTAATAAAATTAGTGTGATGGATTACCATGAGGAAAAGAAAAGAGAAAAGGTTAAATAAACAAATAACTAATAAGACAACAAGGAGAGAACTATATAGTTTGTCATGGTTTTATGCAAGCCTATTATTTATGTCATTCCAAATAATTACGTGTCATTGTGGTCTTTTATTTTCTCTTACTAATTGAATGGCAATTATTTATTTTTAATGGAGTGACATAAATAATACTTTTTAATATTTCTGGTTTTTTTACCATAAAACAAGTGTGATGGATTACCATGAGGATAGCCTTGGTACAATCTCTAGTGAATTGAACTTCACCAAATTCAGATTGATCTCTCTCCATTCTCAGCATCAAGTCAACTACATCTTCCTGCTCTTGTGTAGTAGTCCTATTGAGATGCTCATCAATCACACGTTGAAAAAAATCATCCAACTCATGGAAGCTCCTCTCAAGTTTTGCATGAAGACCAGTAAGCCTGTCAACAAACCAACCCACAAAAGGAAAGAAATCGGAGGCTGTGAAGCCTCCTAACACGCTTTGTGCCCTATGCATTATCTCCTCAAACTCATCATTGTCTAGTCCAGTCTCTTCAAATTTCTTTCCAAAAGCAATTCTTAAAGTCACGCTTGCGGTGAGAGCAAACATCTTTTTGCTGAGATCAACAGGAGTCTTAGTGAAAGAATTCCCGCGAAAAGAATCGATGAGAGAACCAATCTCTTCCTCTCTAACAAATCGAAAAGACTGCACGCTTTTGAGGCTAAAGAGCCTGACAACACAGACTTTCCTCAACTCCCTCCAGTGTTCACCATAAGGTGAGAAGCCCACATCTAAAAAGTTGTAAGAAAGTTTTCCAGGACCAGCTAAAGGAGGTCTACTGCAACATTCCAAGTCATGAATCTTTAAGACCTCCTTTGCAGCCTCGGCTGATGAGATGACAATCGCGGGTACTCCTCCGAGTTGGAGGCGCATAACGGGCCCATACTGCATCGAAAGTTGCCACAGCGAACGATGTGGCAGTGCACCAATTTTGTGCAAATTGCCTATGATAGGAAGCTTTGGAGGGCCTGGAGGATCTCTCCTGTTTTCTTTAATTGCTTTTGTAATCTTGTTTCTCATGAGAAAGAGCAAAGTTAGAAGTGGGACAAGAAGAATTAGCCACATGGTAACCAAAAAGCTTTATCTTGTTCTTCTAACAATGTTGTTAGCTCTCTATTATATATAGGAAACATGAGTAGGCTTTTTTAATCTGAAATCATTAGTGACCACATTTTTTTTTTTTTTATTGACTTTAACTTGATAACACATCTTAATTACTTCTCTTGTGTAAGAGTCTTTTGATTTCCTAGGACTGTGACTTCTCTGGCTTCTTTTATGTAGCAGTTACGTATTGCAATCTTAATTACTTCTCTTGTGTAAGAGTCTTTTGATTTCCTAGGCTTCTTTTATGTAGCAGTTACGTATAGCCAACAGGAAGGATTGGTTTTTCGACCCCAATTATCTGATTGACAATGTCAATTACTGAAACTCCATGATTCAGATTGATTTGCTAATGACTTTTGCTTGTGGAATATTAATGGGCATATGAAGTTAGAATCTCCTTTTGGCTGTATAATATCCACAAAGCAGGTGATGGAGAAAAAGATCACTTGATGAACATTGAGAGGAGCTACATCTCGTTTGGCCTTCGGACAAACTAAATGCCGCTTTTGGCTTAGAAAACGACATCTCGTTTCCATGAAGACGAATGCCAAAGTTATAACTCTAATACGCCTTCCAAAAAATTATTACGATTTGTTGCGATCAGATTTCAGACTTTCTGCATAATTAAACTCTTACAAAACTATGAGTTTTTTGGTAAATATAAACTACATGTCGTTTGGTCTTGAGACAAACTTATTGTCGGTTTTGGCTTACAAAACGACGTATCGTTTCCATTGTGACGAATGGCATGATAAAAAGTTTAAAACTCTAAAATATTCCTTGCAAAAATAAATACAATAAGTTTCTATCAGGATTTCACATTCCTAAACTCTCACAAAACTACGGCATATTTGGAATTAATCTCATTTTTATTTTTCACGTTGTTCGAGAAAAAAAAATGAAAACGTTTTTAAAATGAGGTTTGGCACAATAAAGACAAAAAACGTAAATGAAAATGATTTTTTAGTTTAGTGTAAAATGAAAGAGAAATGAAAGTCGTTTTTCATTTTTTATTTTTATTTTCTCCTTTCTCGAGCAGAGAGAAAGACATTAATGAGTTTTTTTATACTGAAAACAATCTCTTAATAAAACTACCAAACGCATTTTTAAAAATAATTTATGTCTGAGATTGAAAACGTTTTTATTTTTATTTTCATACAAAAAATAAAATTATTTTAGAACAAGTTCCAAAAACGCTCATGATTTTTGATAAATACAAACTACATGTCGTTTACCTCATGATAGAACTAAAGTGTCGTTTTTTCCTTACAAACGACATATCGTTTCCATAGTAACGATTGACTGATGCCAAAATTGGAAACCCAATCCTTTCAAAAAAATAAATAAATAAATAAATAATAAGAAAAAAAAATAATAGATCTCCAATACCCCATTCAAAAATAATTACGCTGGTTGCTATCAGAATTTTACATACCTAAACTCTCACATTATTTTTTTTTATGGGCACATTACTATTATTTTTCATACATTTAGTTCTTTTCTTTTTAGGAAAATCCAATTTGTTCCTAATATAGTTGTGTTATGAATTTTCTCTTTTTTTTTCTTTCTTGTGTCTTTCTGTATTTTCCTTTTAGAAGTTGGAATTGGGATTTAAAGCACAAGAAAAAGAAAAGAATGCAATGCTCTTACCAAATTAAAAGGTTAACAAGATAAGGATTAAGGCATCGAAATAGTATATTCCAAAAATAAAAATAAAAAATGGAAAAGGAAATAGCTTAACTCAACCAGGGTTTGCATCTATCAACATGAATGGTTACACGTAGTCAATCCAACACCAATAAATACCGACCAACAGTCCAGATTAATCTTTGGGAACAAATCCAACGGATGGCGTTAGCTCGCGGAGAACAAAGGTTAGAGCTATTTCTCCGGTACAGAGAGCCCATGGATCTCTGGGTATGACCAATTTCAATCAGGGAATCAAATTCTAGGGTTAGGGTTTGTACACGAGATGGAGATGGACTATTTGACGGAATTTCCTCTCGCTCATATGGATCGCCGTCCGAGGAAGAAGCCTAGGTTTGCTTGGGACGCCCCTCAATCCAATCTAAAAGTAATATTTTATTCTTTTCCATTTTGCAAATTTTTTGTCAAAGTTTTCTGAAATTGATCGTCAAATTCGTTTGTTTATTATGCTCCATTTGTTTATCATTATAAAGACCTTTCCAATTTGGTTTCATTTTTTTTTTTTTGAAAAAAAAAAATTCATTGCTTGGAGAATAATCAAAATTTTGATTGCGAGGGTAGAAAATTAGAAATGATAGAATTAGTAAAGAATTGTGATGAAATTATAAATATTGAGATAAATTTTTTATCTTTTTATTTTGTTGTAAAATAGGGCCTGGAAAAGTTTGTTCTTGCTTTAAAAGATTGCCTCATAGGCTAATACTTGAATTCTTAGAAGAATTGTTAAGAGGTAAAACTTTGAAGCCAAAACCATGTAAAAAGTTTGGAAATTTAACTCATTTATATCATAATATGGAATTCTGTGACAAACTTTTATATCATGTTCTTTTTTATTATTATTTTTTGGTTTCAGCCTTTAAACTTAGTTGGTAGATGGACCTGTGAAGCATTGGAAATTTGGGCAACGTCCTTAGCCTGTTGTCATATTTGTGGTTAATTTAATTATTATGGATGCCTTGACTTTGTTTGGTTGATTAGAAAAACATGAGGAATATTTGAAAATGAATAGTAGTTAATGGCGGGGGTAAGATTTCTTATTAATGTTTGTTTAGTGGAGTATGAATCGATGGCTGTGTGTAGGCTCAGTCAGAATTGTTTTGTGGGCAAGATGTTGGAAATGGGACAAGCTTTGGGCCTTCAAGGGTACTCCCAGACCATCCTGGTCTTTTCGTTAAGGGATTGACGCAAAAAGGCTCTCCCCCATGGCGAGAAGACGACAAAGATGGACATTACATGTTTGCGCTCGGGGAGAATTTAACTTCTCGCTGTAATTACATTGAATCACCACTGAAGAGTTTGTTTGCATTTACTTTTCTGCTGCTGTTGAAGTTTCGAAATACAAATGACCAGTGCATTTTCATCTTCTATTAATTTCTTAATATCTTGTTTCCATAAATTTCTTAAAACTAAAGATTTTTGGAAAGTGCATTGGTATTTCTTTAGTATTTAAGTTATAGCTTCCAGTTGTTAGGTATCGGTAAATTTGAAAAGTTTTGAATGCTTTGGGATTTGGAAACATTTCTTTACATACAGCCGTTTTCCATGTGATATATATCATATAGGATTAGTATTGTTTTCTTTGGTCTCCTGTGCAGCAGGAATATCATTAGTGAATCTTGAATTTAACATGCTTTCCAATGAGATAAAAATCCTCCTAATCCTAAATGAATAGAGAGAATAAAAAGCAAACATGCATTTGAAATTCAACAAAAAAAATACCTTGAGGGATTACTAATACCATTGTTCCAATTCTTTTCAGCATTCTTTTTTCTTACTAAGGAGATGCCAACATGTTTCAGCCTTTAAAATGTCATTTAGTTTGATCTTGTCATGTCTTGAGCATTCGTTTGGCTTGTAGTTTGAACTACAATTCAAACTTTTTTGCTACAGTGCTTTTTCTCATAAAAATTTGAATTTATGTTCAAACTTATGAACCAAACAGGCCATTAGTCTTCAAGAATTTTATTTGTTTGAATTTTTCATGTCTCTGTTGTGCTTACACTCTTGCTTCTGTATATATGCAGATAAAATCCACAGGAAAATTGGTGAAGGTTAGTCTCTCTTAGACTCTTACTGAGTTTAGATTTTTTACCTTAAGAAGGAGATATATTGGAATAATCTTTCTTGTCACACCATGGATTTCTTCAATAGGTACATTTGGTCAGGTTCTGGAATGCTGGGATAGGGAAACAAAGGAGATGGTGGCTATAAAAGTTGTGAGAAGCATAAAGAAATATCGTGAAGCAGCAATGATTGAAATTGATGTGCTACACTTGCTTGGAAAGTATGACAGAAATGGCAGTCGGTAAGTTCAGCTTCTCTTAAATGGTTATGTCTGAGGCTTCTTGGTCAAGGAGAAATTTGTGTCAATTGTTAAGTGAGCTTATTCTTTGCAGTTGTGTTCAAATTCGGAACTGGTTTGACTATCGTAACCATATTTGTATTGTAAGTATATGACTGCATTTTAATAGTATGATTCCCCAACTACATAAATATTTTGGGGGTTAAGAGCTTCTGTTGAATCTAAATGGTTTTAACAGGTGTTTGAGATGCTTGGACCAAGCTTATACGATTTTCTCCGGAAAAATAATTATCGCCCATTTCCGGTTGATCTTGTCCGCGAGCTTGGCCGACAACTATTGGAATGTGTAGCATGTGTGTAGTTGTTACTTCCATTGTTTCTATTTATCTTTTCAAAGTTCTTATTAGGAATGTAATGGCATGGTTTTTGGTGTTTATTTTTCTTATAGATTTTTCTTTCATGTTTTCATACATGAGGCATTGAGTAGATATTTGTAGGGTACTTGGGAAGGATTTTATATAAGGTTTTAGTGCTATAAGTGCTTATGTTTTCCTCTGGTGTATAAAATGGTGCAGTCATGCATGATATGCGGCTCATTCATACCGATTTGAAGCCAGAGAATATACTTTTTGTGTCTCCCGAGTACATAAAAGTACCTGACTACAAGGTACTTTACCTCTTCTTCTTCTTTTCTTTTACACGTTAGCACTTGCTTTTCTATTGTCGTTGATGTTAGTCATGCAACACTTTTTGTTTGGCATTCTACCCCTTATTGTGCCTTTTTTTTCCGTGTCCCTCATGTTAATTGTTCCTAAAACTATAAGTACCTAATCTGCTATTTCAGGTTACTCCGCGCTCACCAAGAGAGGGAATCTTTTATAAAAGGTTGCCAAAGTCCAGTGCCATAAAGGTTATTGATTTTGGCAGCACAGCTTATGAACATCAAGAGCACAACTATATAGTCTCTACCAGGCACTACCGTGCGCCCGAGGTTATTCTCGGTATGACATGTCTTGATTTTCTCTTGCCCTAAATGTTTTTCCTTCTTATGTATAATAATTTATTTTATATGTTAAAACTTTAGAGGTGAAACCTACTTATCCTTTCAGGACTTGGATGGAGTTTTCCTTGTGATTTGTGGAGTGTTGGTTGTATCTTGGTAGAACTGTGCTCGGTAAGCTTAATATTTCGTGGGGTCATATCTACCTAGTAGGTGCTGTTTTTTACAACGCTCTATAGAAAATAACTTAATATTAATTATTTGCAGGGAGAAGCTTTGTTTCAGACACATGAGAACCTAGAGCACCTAGCCATGATGGAGAGGGTATTAGGCCCGTTACCTCAGCATATGCTGAAAAGAGCAGAGTGCGTGCTTATTGAGGATATCTTATTTGGTTTTCTTCTTGTGATGTCTTAAGAAAACCTCAAGTTCATCTGTTTTTAACAAAGTTTCTCCGTTGCCTTTTTTTTTTTTTTTGCCTTTTTTGGTCAGCCACCACGCTGAGAAGTATGTTAAAAGGGGTAGATTGGACTGGCCAGAAGGCGCAGCCTCTCGTGAAAGTATCAAAGCTGTTCTGAAGCTACCCCGTCTTCAGGTGTGTACCATACCAGAATATTTCAATATAATTTCCATTATTCCTAATTTGTTTCTTTTGGTATATTGAGAGTCTTAGACGTGTTTACAAGAAAACCTTTGCAGATATTTGTTTCCTTGTCTCATTCCAAAGTTACTAACCTCTATTTTCGGTATCGGCAGAATCTAGTAATGCAACATGTAGATCACTCAGCTGGTGATCTTATTGACCTTTTGCAAGGTCTCCTTAGATATGACCCTTTCCACAGGCTAACAGCTTGTGAAGCCCTTAGACACCCTTTCTTTACCAGAGATCTTTACAGGAGATTCTAGTTGAAGAGGTTGTTATTTTACATCCCTGTGTTGTTGTCATGTTTGATTGGAGTGATTCACCGATTTACGGCTTAGTTATAAGTATAAATATACTACTCTGAGGTCATGAATGTTGTTGTCGTCTCTTGGCATAGTGTACGGATCAAGATTCCGGCCGGGAGTGTCTATTTCTATATACTGCTGTGCCTTTGTAAATAAAATGGATGTTGGGAGTGTTTCTCCTAGTTCAGTTTTGTATCTTGATTATGAAATACTAGCTGGTTTCTCTTTCATATAAGACGCGTCGTTTACTTCTTCACAAGTTTGCCCCTGTTTGGAAGTCTTGTGACGTGTAACTTTGTAAAGGAGGTGGGAAACAAATGAATATGATTGATGGTGTGGTAATTATATCTGTATGTTATTTTTCAAAAAATGGTATTTAACAATTTGAGATTTAAATTATCCAGTGGTAACGTATTATCTAAGGGTGGCAATTCATATTAGTGGGTCGTGTTCGTGTTAACTTGTTTTTTAATCGTGTTAGAAAACATCAACCCAAATACGACTTGTTTATTGAACGTGTTAAAAATGTCAACTCAAACACGACTCATTTATTAATCGTGTTAATCGTGTCAACCCGTATAATCTTTTAAATTAATATATTGAATCAATAATTAATATAATAATAACTTATTTAACACTGTCAATATAAGTTTAACATGTTTATTGGTCAATTTATCTTTTTCTTTAAGAAATATAAATGAATTTTACCCACAAATATTAAAATTCACATCATTTGTATTTAATATGTCATATAAACTTTCATGTTATATTACATATTATTATATTGCAGATGACACATATAGTTAATCGTGTCAATTCGTGTCACTTCGTGTTAAGAGGTCAATCTTAATCTAACTCATTTATTAATTGTGTTAATCGTGTCAATCTGATTATGATCTAAACTCATTTATAGTAAATTTAAACCCGCTAACTTTGTACGGGTTTCGAGTCGTATCGTCATATCGCTACCCGGATTGCCAACCTTACTATTACCCTTGAAAAGAAAATTTCAGAGCTCAAAATTATACAAGATCCATGAGTACAAAAACGAAGGAATAAAATATCCATTCCATTCAATGAAGAACGTCGTCTACTTAAGAACTAAACGCCCCCATGAGGAGGTTTCTTCAATGTGATACTGTGATAACACATCCGCCGTGACAACGGCGCGAGTGTACCAGGAAACGAGGTTGAGCCGAGAAAGTCCTCTTCACTTCGAACACCAGCCTGTTCTTCACCATCACACTTTTGAGCCTCTCCATTTCCAGCTCGAAAAGCCGAACTCCAATAGCCACCATGGGGTAGGCGGCTCTAGAACTTTGAACAGAGGATGATTTATGGAAAGGGCAAAGAATCATACCTGGCCAAGGGCAGGAGGCAAAGTAATATTCTCAAGGGTGACTACTTTTTAGACACTGATAAGTTGTGATAATGAAAGACATTCTGAATTTTTTTTTTTTTTATTTACTACTCTTTTTAAGATCAATGCTACAAATTAAATTTTCATATAGAATTCTTGCACTCTTTGACATGTCGAACATAAAAAATGAGAGTAGCAATAAGAGTTCTTCTAACAAAATAGTGGAATAACAGTCACAATTACAAAATGCTTTTCTTAGTCACAATTACAAAATGCTTTTCTTTCTTAAATGGATTTTATAATCCTAGTCCTACAAATATTCTCCAAGGGGTCTTTAACTTTTCCTAATTCAGTTCTTGCTTAGCAAGACAAGAATCTCCCGTATGAATTCTTTTTAATGCACTTTGATATTTTATGTTCTCGAGGTGCAAGGCTAGCGAAGAATTAACAAGTTATCATAACCATTTCCATTTTAATTGAGCATATAATATGGAACACAAATATCTCTTGAATTCTTGATCACGGCATGTAAAAGAATATAGATCACTATCTACCACCAGCTAATCCATCTTGTGACAACATTTTCCAAACTTACTCGGAATCACTACCGCACAAAATGGATAATTCTCAATCCCCGTAGAATACAAAAATGAAAGAACAAATTTATGGGATTGTGTGTACATATCCAAATTTGAATGAAAAATGTTGTTATTGCCTTTATCCGTGCTTTGTTTTGCATTTCTTTGCGGATAGGACCCCATCAGGAGGTCTCCTAACCATAATAGTGCACTGGCCATGCAACCAATACGAGTACCTTAAGAAACCACCGAGGTTAGATCTTGCCCGGAAAAAGCCCTTCACCTCAAATATCACCCCATTGTTCAGTGTCTGCCTCTTGAGCCTCTGGATTTCGAGCTCTGAAAGCCGAACCTGGCTAGTTACCATGTGAAGATTTGCGAACCTTGCAGCAGTCCTCGGCGCGGAGAAAGGCTCTATGGCTTGTGTAGCAATAAGCGTCCTTCCATAGTAAAGCTCGACGTACATGTAACTGTAGTCCACGCTCACTTTCTTGTTCGGGTTTGTGAAGTTTGCCAACAAGGTGAGATCAGCATTGAGCAGATAGCCCATGTCAAGGTAGGCTGCGTTTAGCGTTGCGGTGGACACGTCAAACTTCGGGATGCGTGGGCGGAAGACGAGGTAGACAATGAGCACAATCAGGCCTCCTAGAATTATGACAATCCAGAAGATTGTGCAGAAGACTAAGGTGAACCATGTTAAGGCTTTCTTCTTGTCGGGTTCTGGCATCCGCAGGCCGTGATTATATCGTGGTTCTCGCCTTGGATGTTGGTCTCCAAGGTGCTGCGAAAGCGGCGGTGCCACTGAACCATGTGGCCTGCGAGTTTGGTCCTGCTGGTGCGTGGATGGCGTGGGTGAACCATGCGGCTTTTGATGGTCTGGCTGGGGATGGTCTGCATGATGGCGCTGTTGCAGCGGCGGTGAACTTGGTTGCTGCAGGTTTTGTTGGTTGTCGTGATGGCGGGGATACGGTGGGTAGTATCGGTCCTCCTGATGGCCTCGATGTGGCGCCAATGGAGCGCGTGCAGGCTGGGGATCTGCTCGGGGTGGCCGCGTTTGCTTTTCTGGACGCTTCTTCCCAGGCTGCCCCTGACCAGTCAGATGGGACCGGCCTTCTTTACGGGGTTGCGGCCCCCTTGGACTGGTTGGCCCGAGAAGATGGTCTTGGTCTTGATCCGATCCTTGTGACAACGATGGTCTGACGAAATGAGGGTTTGTTTCATGGTGTTGGCTCATGGTAGTATTGAGAAGTGATGGATCAACGAAGAAGAGCTCAAGGGGAATAATAAAGGAAATGTGGCTGAGAAGACTATGCAACGAAAACTTGAAGAGAACTTCAAAGGATAATTTAGGAAAAAAGGCAAAGAATCAGACATGGATAAGCAAAGGAGGCAAGTAATCTTGGGTGACTTGCCTTTTTTAAGCACTGTATTAATAACAACGTAACAAGCTAGCAGGACGTCGAATCAGATGCTTGCTGCTAGTCCGGACCTAAGAGATCTTCATCATACTGAATATTTTAAGAATTTTATTTCTTCAACGCCTTGTTTCATTTACAAGATTGAGTGATGGTGCAAACACTGTTATGAGAACTAGTATTGATTTCAGAATCCGTATATTTTATGGTAATTGTGTTGAGTATTGTCCAATAAATTGTTTATCAATGACTGAAGAATATGAGCTTTCTACTTATGATTGTCGTGAATTGAATTATAATTAAATTGCTTTAGGTTGTTTACCAATGTTAGTAATTGACGATTATACAATTCGAGCAATTCTGAATTCTCCGCAAATAAAAAATAAGTAAATCCTTGACTAAAGAAAAATTTTATCACACTATTTTACTTATCCTTTTTGGATTGAAGACTGTTAGGTACCTGGTAATATACTCAACCAAACAACCAGATTCCACACTCAAACAAGTAGAAAATCAAGCAATCAAGTGATAGAAATCAGGGAGTTTTATTGAACAACCAGCCAAAACACTGATAACATTAAAAGTAACCGGAAACAATAAAGATAGAATGGAGATTTCGAGCTCTCCAGCACTCCCAGCCACCAACGGCAGCACACACATACAAAGCAGATGATAGTACGGCCTCCACTCTCCCTAACAGACCCTTAACACCCCAAATACTCCCTGAACCTGCATAATTTGCCACATCAGCCACCTTAGCCACTTTCAGAATTTGCTCCTTTGCCCCTAATTCTATGTTTTCTTCCCCGTTTGCCCCTCCTGGTGTAGACCAGCTTAAGTAAGGGCCTAACAAAGACAAAACGACTGTATTCAAACTCTCATCCAATTAGTAGGGTTCTGAATACCCTTTGGAAAAAACCAAAACAAAAAACAAAAAACAAAAAAAAAAATCACATCATGGTAATTTGATGTTTAAAGTATGAGCGCTAAAGTTGTATTCTAGTATAGCATTCTGTGTAGAGGACATTGCCTTGTTTCTAGCTAAACAACAGTTCAGAGTTTTATTGTGGCTTTTTTTTTAAAATAGCTCACCACAGGATCGCAGAATAGCATTTGTTTTGAGGTTGCCTTGCCCCTGCCATCCGAGACATGGAGACGAATCCACCGGACATCATCATCCAAAAGCTCGAATAATCGGTATCGGTACGAAATCTATGACGATCCCATCTTAGGGGATCTAGCCGTACATTCATTCCTATGTTAAATTTTGTATCCAAAAGACCACCTTCAAGATTATCTTCATTTTGAAGTTTGTAGGGAATCCAGAACTCAGCAGGATTATGGTGAATGTGAGGAAACCCATGTCCTTAATTTCCTTTAACTTGCTTTCTCCCACGAGAGTTAAGGGACCAGGTGAAAATTTCTGAAACTATTTTGTATTAATCCCAATACCAAAGGAGAGAAATCCAGCACATAGATGATTGCATCTATCAAATGCACTTTTAGTGAAGTAACGAAGAAAGAAATTACCATAAGAAAGAGACTTTTGATCTTGCTAAGCTCAACCTCATTCTCTAATATCCCAGAAGCAGCATTCTTCAGCCATCAGTGGATAATAGCAGCACTTAAAGCCAAACATATAAAGGGGGGAAAACAAGAAGTTAAAGTACAATCTTACATCTATTTTTTACAAGTAGCGGTTACATTAAAGTTGAAAGAATGTACTCAACTTCGAAAGAATCATATGACAAATCATACAAGAATCAAGAGTAACTGTGTTTGGAAACAATTTAGGTAAAGCTGCAAAACAATCTTTCCGAGACTGCATGATTCAGAAGCATTATTGGTCAATCTGAAAACAATGGTGAGGAAGGTCTATGATCAGCGTAAATAAGGCTTTCTAGTTAGAATCCAGAGCATACCATTCTTGTTTTTGCTCAGAGCATACATTCGAAAACACTTTCCGGGCGCATTTACATATCATTAAAGGAGAGAGAATGGGAGGGGTGTTTCCTTTTTTCGCATTCATGTCGCCACATATTACGAATATGTAAGTATAAACTCGAATCAAATGTTTGACTCCCTCCCCTTTTCTTCTTCTTCGTCAAATTTTTCCTTTCGGTTCGTAAATGCGCCCTTAATCTGCAGTAAAACTTAGCACCACATTGTAGGTACACAACATTTTAATCCTTTGAATTAATGGCATTAATTAGAGTCTCGGAAAGAGCCGGTTCAAGAGTAAACCCTTTCTCCATCATCTGATCCCATACTCTACAAGCCAATGGAAGCTTGTTTTCCTTTATGAGACCACCAATTATCAATTTGAAAGTCACTTCATCAGGACATAATCCTCTAGCCTGCATTTCCTCATATAGATGCACGGCTTCGCTCACTCTAAAAGCTTTGCAAAGTCCATTTATAATGGCATTGTATGAAATCACATCAGGGGTGATTCCTCTTTCAACCATGTCACTGAAAACGCTATGTGCCATCCCAATCTTCCCTGCCTTACACAGATGATCAACTATGATAGTGTAGAATAAACAGTCGGGCAATAGACCCATTCCAGTCATCTGATCAAGTAGCCTCTTGGCCACATCAGAACTACCTACGCTAAGAAACGCTTTGATAAGAATTGTGAATGTTACCACATCGGGTTCAATCCCCTTCTGCCTCATTTCCTCAAAAAGCTGGTAAGCCCTTCTAACACGTAGTAACTTACAAAATGCGCCGATGATGGTATTATACGAAACGACATTAGCCAATCCCTTGGACTCCATACTATCAACCATCAGCAAATAAGCCTTGTCCGGCCTATGAGCTCTGCAAAGTCCCTTGAGAAGTTTGTTATAGCTATATGAATCGGGTTTCATTCCGATCCTCTCCATTGTATTAATCAACTTATTCGCCTCGTCCAACATCAACTTGTCACAACAATAAATCAACAACACATTGTACGTCACCAAATCCGGCTCACACCCGTCCCTCTTCATGAAATCCTTGATCACCTGCGCCTTATCAATCCTACCTGCTCGACAGAACCCACTAATGAGCGAGTTATATATCAAATTGTTAAACTTAACCCTACCTTTCAACGCACCAACTGTAAGCTCATAAGCTAAGTCAACCTTCCCGCCCTCACACAAACCGACGACAAGCGCCGTGCAGGCAATGGTATCCGGCACAAAACCTTTCTTAATCATACCACACCACGCTTCAACCGCGGCATCGAATTTCCAAGCTTTACACAATCCATCAATAAGTATTGTATAAGTAACAACATCAGGCTCTCTTCCTCTCTCAACCATTCTACGAAACACTTCCAAAGCCAACTGCACTCGATGTTCACCACACAAAACATTCAAATAAATATTAAAAGCCCAAATATCAGGAATACAACCAAGCTTATCCATGTCTTCTAGAAGCTTCTCGACGAGAAGAAAGTTTTTAACGGCACACAAAGCGGAAATGAACCTAGAGTAAGTAAACGGGTATAAGGAGAATCCCTGTGGGGCCATCTTGTGGTAATAATGCTCGGCCAAATCGAGACGGGAATGGCGGGCCAAGACACCGATGAAGCGGTTGTAGTCGACGCTGAAGACGCGGCAATCCGAGTGCGACATTTCGTCGAACAGTTGGACGGCGTGATCGATGAGGCCGGTTTTGACGCAGTAGGCAATGCGGGAGCGGTACAGGAGGCGGTGCGCACCAAGACTGTGAATCATATCAGAGCGAATGCATATCAGAAGGGGTCGGCGGGGGGCGCCGCACCTGATTGGGGCCCACTCAGAGCAGGAAAGTGAAGACCAAGAAGAAGAAGAAGAAGAGAGAGAGAGAGAGAGAGAGAGAGAGAAAGGAAGAAGCTTTCGGTTGAGGGGAGAATAGAGAGAGAAAGAGAGAGAAAGTGGGTGGTGGTTGTAAGGTGATAATCGGCGGTGGTGGAGAAGGGAACACGGAGGTGCTGCAGACAGAGACTCCGCTCTCAAACTTCTGTGTCGCGGCCGAGACGGGGATGAATGATGATGATCGACTGGGCTGTTGGTTTTGTGGGCCCGATACCAAACCCAGTGAATGTATTTATGGGCTTCGAATTTGGGCTTTCAAACTTGTGATGTACAGATTTATTGGGCCGACGGAGTCAGGAGTCCAGAATTATAAGTTGGGAAATCCAAAGGCGTGATTGTTTTTTTTTTTTTTTTTTTTTTTTGAGAATATCCAAAGGAGTGATTTAGATGTATACTACGAGGATTTTTTTTTCTTTTTTATATTTTTATACATATACTACGAGGATTTCAAACGTATCACTTTTGTGGAAAACTTTAATCTTAATTTTCAGCTCAAAGTTGTAAATATAATAACTAGAATTCAAAGGTAGTATTAGAGTTTAATTGCCACGAAACCAAACGAATGCTTACGCTTTTCTGAACACTATGAGATTTTTGTCTTCAAGAATGACGGAACCATAAAAAAGGCACGAAACTTAAAACAAAACAAAACAAAAAAAGAGCAAATTTTATGACTTTATCCAAGTGTTTTGTGATAGGACTAACAAAAACTTTATTCAGTCAAATTTTCATAAGTTCCATTGTATTTATACATCTTATTTTCCGATACAATTACAATTCTAATGTGATCTTACCCTAAAAATAATGCAATATCATTAGAGTACACAAATCTCCCTTTCAAATTTCCTTATATCCGCATCCAATGGAAAATGGCCAGTGTCGAATTAGCAAAAGGAAATCTCATAAAAAAAAAAATTGTACACTTGTTACTACCACATGCTTATCCTATTATACAGTCAATAGGACCAAAAATGCCGTATGACATATCCTTTTAGTTATTTCATATCAAACTGATTATATAGTCCATTATAATATATATTAATATATATATATATATACTCACACCGGAAAAGGCAGTTATTTCATCTTATCCACAAGCTTATCCAAATTATGAAATATAAATTAATCTCTTTGAAATTGTGATTTTGTGTGGCCACTGTTGAGTATGAAACTGAGGTGCCAAGGAAGACAAAAGTAAATGTTACTGTTGTGATGATGCACAATAATGTCTTTTTTTTTTTTTTTTGTCTTCTCTTTCTTGTGTTCAAACTTATGATTGAGCATTATGAATATAACGTGCTCGCGTCTTCTAATGGTACAGAAAAATCATGTCGTGCACTTTGACTCGCACAAAATCGACAAGCATGACTCTATGCATTCCTCTTGAAAATAAATAATGTTAATACTAATATGTGTAGGTATATATATACCAGAACCGCAGAGATAAAAAAACCATGATTTTCTTCTTCTTTTTTGTTTTGTTTTTTTCAAAAAAATCGGCAGACAAGTTTTTCCTTACTCATTTAATTAGGTAATTAAACGTATGACCATCCTATCTTTATATACTGTTTATGGAGAATTTCGAATTATTGACTATAATACTTATAGATCCTAAATGCATCTCCTTTCTAATTAGGGATTTATAATTTCATTTGTCTAGTAGAATGACGGCATTAACTTAACAATATGTTATAAAATTAAAAGTACCAAATATGTTTTTTTTTTTTTTTTAAAGAAAAGGTGGTTAAGGCATGTTTTTATTTTAATAAACAAAACAATATGAATAAATATTTTTATTGACAAATTATAAAAAAAGGTCACGAAACAAGGCCTAAATTGATAATTATTGATTATTTTTGCATAATTATATCTCAGATACTGTATATACCTTTCTAAAATAGTAGAATTTAATTAGGAGTTAAACTTCATTTGTGTCATTGGATTATTTCATCACCCGGATTAACTTATAAAAAAGCCTTTCCACAAACTTGAGTGACGAGGGACATACGAAAAAGAACCATTAATTATATTTTTTCTAATCTCTAGCCTACCTTTCTTGACCCCCTTATTTTTCTTTTCTTTTTTTCTTTCTATTTTTTCGTTTAAAATTTTCTTGTGCAACATTTGTTGACTATGACATAAAAACTCTCGTTGATAAAACTTTTTTTTTTTTTGACAAAATTATTAAACTAGTAGTGATTGATTCCTATAGCTATCGAGTATAAATTATAATGGACTATGACAACCGGAAATGTTGCCGCTCACGACTTTGTAAGTATGGGTGACAATTTGTATTCGTGTTAATTTATTTATTAATCGTGTTAAAAAATATTAATTTAAATACGATATGTTTATTATACGTGTTAAAAATATCAATTCAAACACGACTCATTTATTAATTGTATTAATTGTGTCAAACTGTATAACCTATTTAAATTAATATATTGAATAAATAACTAATATAATAATGACTTATTAAACACAGTCAAGACAAATTTAACATGTTTATTGGTTAATTTATCTTTTTCTTTAAGAAAAATAAATGAATTTTAAATACAAATATTAAAATTCACATTATTTGTATTTAATATGGCATATAAACTTTCATATTATATCACATATCATTATATTACAGATGACACATATAGTTAATCGTGTCAATTCATGTTAAGAGGTCAACCCTAACACAACCCATTTATTAATCGTGTTAATCATGTCAATCCGATTATGATCCAAACACATTTATAATAAACCTAAACCCACTAATTTTGTACTGGTTTCGAGTCGTATCGTCGTGTCGCTATCTAAATTGTTAGCATGTTTGTAAGCGGGCTTCATTCTTTTTTCCCATATTGTTTTTGTAAGCCTTTGGAGGATTCTAATATCTAGCAATGAGAACTTTGGAATTTGAAAGATCATATGTTGCTTAAGTTAAAATCATGAGACTTCTACTCTGGGAGGCTAATAAAATAACACACTAATATGATTAAATTTTTTAACTGTTAAATATATATTATAGACTATTAATTTTACATATTTTTTTAGTTAATATGAATTTAATCGAATATAACATTCAGAACGTACACCACACCACGTATCACGTGATCATCTTCCACGTATAGGTATTTAAGTGTTCGGTGGCAGCGGTGATTTCCTCGAAGCTTCAGAGCTACAAAATTGGAAATTGGAACATCATGCAAAATATGTACCCCCACACATAATGAAACACAAGTGGATCATAAAGTTAAATCCTTCACTGTTTAATTAGCAGTGCCAGATTTCAACAGCTGGTCCACCCAGTTAGGTTTGCAGCCCCACCCAGCAGAGTTATGGTTTTGTCCATTCTCTTGTTTTCTTTTTGTCATTTCCTGTTCAATTGGAGCCATGATAGTATTAATTATTAATAATTGCCCATGAGATTCTTCATATAACACCTGCAAAAATAAATATATAAATAAAGTATTAAATAAATCTTAAAGTAGTTTTCTTGGCAGCTTGGTTTTGACTACAAAGCTTGAGGGAGGCCTCCTTCCAGAAATACCACAAGAAAAACAACAAATAATGTTTGATAGATGAATTCGTTCCTTGATTCGAATCATGGTTCGTGATTCGCTACAGTATTTTTTCTCACAAAAAATACACGTAAATTAAAAATAATTATAATCCATTAACCAAACACACCCAAAAGACTACTACTGCTTTTAGTTGTTTATGTTGCACGTTAATTACTATAATTGTTTTACTTGGAAAATAAACCATTGGACTAATTTGATTGTGTTTACCGAAACGTTCAAAGTTTGATGATTTAATTAATAAGTTTTTTTATTGTTCAACTCAGCTTGTTCCAATGTCCGACTTAGAATATGTATTTTTCTGTTTATTTTTTAACACTTTTTAAAGTAAAAAAAAAAAAATGTTTGTTTCATTTTTTATTGTTTTTCGTTGCTTAGTGAGGAGGAACTCCAGGTCAAGAAGGTTTCTATCTTCGGTTTAAAGGAAAAAAAAAAAAAAAAAAAAGACGTATATTTGACAGACTCACATGTCCAAAGATTAATTATTACAGCTTTTAATTTAATTTGAATCTTAATTTCTCCATCATGATGTATGAAGCTGGTATCATATACAATAATTTTAGGAGGATCATATTTCTGCATAATATATAGATGTGAGAAGATTAACATAATATTTTTTAATGACTATTAATTTAAAAAATATAACATCAAGAAATTAGAAGGGGTTAAATCCATATAAATTGTACAACTTTTTGGTTTTCCAAATATCAATTTAAATACCTTTATTGGTTCAAATTGTGGCTCATGAGTTAAACGTCCTTCATATTTGATGTTTTTTTCACTTTTAGATGATGGTAGAACAACAAAAATATATTATAAATTTGTATATATATACCTACAAAAAACTATTGAGTTGATTAGTAAAAAGGAAAAAAACTCATAAGTGGTCATTTATTTATAAGTTTAAATAAAAAAAAATTTAACATTAAATTTTATAAAAAAAAATATTGTAATAAAAAAATTAAAAAGAATTTCTTCCATAAAAAAAAGTTAAAGAGAATTTCTTCCATAAAAAAAAATTAAAGAAAGTTTTTTTAATAGTCTATCATATCGATAGCCATAATTTTTAACCGTTAAATTTAATTAAAATTATATTAAATTAAAAATATATATAAAATAAATACAAATTTAATAATTAAAAATAAAATACTATTAATAGTTTATTTTTACTATTAAAGAAAGTCTCATAAAACAAACGATGGCGTAGTAGTTAACTTTGATTTTCACTTTAACCTAAAAAGCGAAACTACCCCTTTACATGTAAAAAAAAAAAAAAAAAAAAAAAAAAAAAAAAAAACCTCTTTCTATCAAAAAAGGAAAAAAAAAATCCCACTTTCTTTTTCTCTCTCTCAGTATAAATGACATCACAAGAATTGACATGCATGGCTTAATATCTGTATTCGATGATTCGATGATGACGTGGGTCTTTGACCAGTTCTCTCTCAGTCTACAAAGTACTACACCTAAAAAATAATAATTTTAACAGATATTTCTTAAAAATATAAGATGTGTTTAGAATTTGTATCATATGATTGGTTATAATATTTTTTTTAAAAATATACGTAAATTAAGAATAATTTTGACTCATAATTTTAAATTTATAAACTAAACATTCTCGTATTAATCAAAATTTTAAATTTTAATTTTTAATTTTTAATTTTATTAATTAAATAATTACATTAATAAAAAAATATTTATTAAAAATAAAATATAAAAATTCATATTCATACTCACACGGTCACACCCTTAAAAATAAATTCTCTAATAAAAAAAAGAAAAAAACAGCCAACGACTCCAAAGTCCCAACCTATTGGGTGACCGACTCAGTCCAACTCGCTCTCACCAAACTTTCTCTCTCTCTGATCCTTTCTAGGGTTTCAAACCTCGGTAACACACCCCTCAAGTGATTCTTCTTCTTCTTTGTAGTTATTCTTCGTGTAAGTCTCTCTTCAACAATCTCGACTGTATTTAATCGTCCTACGTTTTGTTTTTTCCCTTTTTATTTATTTGCCTTTCCTTGGCTTTCCACTATAGCTTAGCTGTGGAGTTTTACTGGGTCATTTTCGTATTTGAATTCTCTTCCTCAGAGAAGAAAACCATCGAGGTGATTTGGATAGATAGGAAAAGTACCAAGTTTTTAGAGAGAGAGAGAGTCAAGGGTTTTAGGTGGGAAAAAAAGGGTAGAGAGAGAAAGAATGGTCAAGGCTAAAAACATTTCAATATCAGTTATTTAATGCCAAAATTGCAACTTGTTGTTTCTTATGTCCTTTCCTGGATACTTCGTTTAATGGGTATCTATTAGTTTTTTCCAAAACACTTCACTGAAAAAGTTCTTGAAATGCTTGGTGAGGAAGATAACAAGGACCTGCTCGCCGGAGCTGCCCGGCGAAGGTATTTGCGGTCAGTTTCTTGGACTGACCGATCACCAAATAAGGCTAGTACTAATTCTAATCCACGGTCTCAAACCAACACTAAAGCTCGGTCCTTTTTGCCACCACTTTCAATAACCAGGCGTCATGTTGAGGAGTGGCCAAGGGCGGGTTCTGATGATCTTGGCGTTTGGCCTAATCCTCAAACTCCGAGAGGATCGGTTAATGCGGCCGAGAAGTCGAATAATTTGGAACAAACTGAGAGAGAGTTTCAGTTCAAGAGGGACAAGCTTGCCTTTTTTGATAAGGAGTGTTCAAGAATTGCTGATCATATATTCTTGGGAAGCGATGCAGTGGCTAAAAACCGCGAGATTCTGAGGCAGAATGGGATAACACATGTGCTTAACTGTGTTGGGTTTGTTTGTCCGGAGTATTTCAAGCTTGACCTTGTGTACAAGACACTTTGGTTGAAGGATAGCCCATCTGAGGATATCACAAGTATTCTCTATGATGTGTTTGATTACTTCGAGGATGTTCGGGAGCAGGGCGGGCGGGTTCTTGTGCACTGTTGCCAGGGAGTGTCGAGATCAACGTCTCTGGTTATTGCCTACCTCATGTGGAGGGAGGGCCAGAGCTTTGAAGATGCTTTTCAGTATGTGAAGGCTGCAAGAGGTGTGACTAATCCGAATATGGGGTTCGCTTGTCAACTTCTGCAGTGCCAGAAACGAGTTCACGCTGTTCCTGCTAGCCCAAATTCCATGTTGAGGATGTACCGAATGGCCCCACATTCTCCATATGACCCCCTACACCTTGTCCCCAAAACAGTGAGCCATCCCGGTGTTCAAGCACTTGATTCTCGTGGGGCGTTTGTTGTTCATGTTCCTTCTGCTCTGTACGTTTGGAACGGGAAGTATTGCAACTGTGTGATGTCGAACAATGCGGACGCAGCAGCCTTTCAGGTCATTAGGTATGAGAGGGCTAAGGGTCCAATTGTGAAAATTAAAGAAGGTGAAGAGCCTCCAGAATTTTGGGAAGCTCTTGCCCGTGGGCAATCCGTGGCAGAGGATTGCAGCAAGGTGGAGGCCAAAAGGGAAGAAGCTGGATCTCCTGGTAGTGATAAGTTTGCTACGGATATTGGTACTGGGGCTAGTGAGAGGAAGGTAGATGAATATGATTTGGACTTTGAAATTTTTCACAAGGCACTTGCAGGTGGGGTTGTACCTCCTTTTTCAGTGTCAAGTGCTGGATCCGAAACTTGCCTTCCTGCAAGGGAGAATGGATGGAGCAGATTGAGACGGAAGTTTGCTATAGGTGTCATGAAAGAATTCGTCACGCTTGTCACATCCTCCAAATTGAATTCCAAGACAAGTCCATCTAGTGATGTATCGGAAATGATTATAGATAGCCAGAAAGAGGAAGAACAGCCTGTTTCTGAGGTTGATCTTCCATCATCCTTGTCACCTCCAACCGACTTATGTGGTTCGCCAGATTCCTTTGAATGTTTTCCAAACGGAAGCCCGGATAGGATTCCGGATACTTTCAAACAAGTAGAACGGCCAGATCATATTTCTCATCCTTTATCACCACCTTCTTGTGGCTCACCGGATTCCTTTTCTTGTTTTCCAGATAACAGTCCCAAGTTCAGTTCCAAATCCCCTACCATTTCACCTTCTACCTCCGATTATGCGAGTTCGTTTTCCTTCTCACCATCATCTTCTAATTGGTCTGACTTGTCATACCTGTCATCTAGACAGCCTTCACCGTCCGGCTTGGATTCGACTGATCCATTAGCAATTAAGAATATTTCTTTTTTACATAGTTCTTTCAATCTCAACAGAGAAACTAACCAAACACCACCAGAGGAATTCTATGGTAATCATACTTTTAGAACACAAACTGCAGGTTCACCGTGTAAAGGGATTACACCTTCTATTGCTGAGCGTAGAGGGAGTAATCCTCCACCGCGGATGATGTTATCCTCGGTTGATGAACAACATCAAGCTCCAAGAAAACTGGCACGATCATGGTCCTTTTCTATTCCTGACACAGACGATGAGGAGATGAAGGCCTCTGATTATAGTCCATCAGAGAATGAAGGCAATGGAGAAGAGGTAATGCTAGATGCGGATATCTTTGATCCTGGAAAGGAACTAGGAAGTGAGATTAAAGAAAAAGAAGAGGGTAGTAAAACTGATCTTTTTTCAGGTGAAATAACTGCGGAGGCTGCAGAAGTCGGGAAGCCAGTTTTATACAAGTGGCCTTCTTTGAGTAAAGTAGAGGGGGCTTGCTCTAACGAACTTGACTCTGGATCAGCTTATGTTTTGTTAGCTCAAGATGTGAGTTTGGACGGGAACAGTCCTCGCACGTTAACTTTCTGGTTGGGACACAAAACTCTGCACAAAATAGGGCAAGATGACGGTGAGATGCTCGATAGTGGTGCTCTTCTTTGCCAGACGATTGCACACGACGTACTTGGTCAAATGGATTTGCCACTGAATACTCATGTCCAGGTAATTATTCACTTTATAAAGCTTTGTCCGTTTTTCCCCGTTTCATGTCATGGCTCCGTTTTAGTTAGGATGTAAAAGAATAACTTCGTTTAAGATATCATAAGTTTACCTTTAAAAAAAAAAAAAAGAGAGATATTATAAGTTAACCGTGGTATTCATATTTGAGTATAAGCAAGTAATTGATCCACTAGGTGGATCCTTTAAGATAGCACAAATAGTTCATTTGGCACATGAATAGTCCATTTGAGTGTACAAGGAACATAACCATATTTCTTAACTCTAATAATATCTTTCCTATTCTTCGCTGCTGCTGTTAAAGCATTTTGGTATCATTTTTGTGTATACTGCTCGAATTTGTTTTGAATCAATGTCATGCTATGGATTTCTTTAGTAAGACGATGAACGGTAATTTCAGGTAGTAAGAGAAGGCGAGGAGCCTGAGGAGTTTCTAAACCATCTAAGATGCATAGCACTTGAAGTGACAGAGGACACAGGACACGGTTAAGACCATTCTTTTGAAAGATCGATCTTCGTGATAAAAGTTTTCCACCGGTGGCGGTTATGCCTAATGGAAATGTGTTGCAGATTTTGAAAAGTGAGTAGGCATCCCGGGCAGCGTCATATCTGCTTGTGTGATGTGTGTGTGGTTGAGAAATATGGGTTATTCTTACACCAAAAACATGTATAGAGAACAGCTCCATCGTAAACCAAATGGCAAATACTAAGTAGAAGTACATAGTACTAGTTTCCACTTATCTGTTTTTGGACAGAAATAACGTCATTTGGAATAAGCGGCACAAGCCGTCGTTAATTTTTTGTGTATTATGTATTTGTTTAGGCTTTTTGTGTAATCTATATTTTTCTACATTCCACAGCGCGCCCAAAGGTGGCTGCTGTTTTGAAGGGAAATAGTAAAATTTCAGTTCAAACAAGTGAACAAATCAACTTTTCTTTTGCCCTTTGTTCTCTCTCTCTCTCTCTTTCCTTGCTCTGAAAATGGTCGTTCTCTGCTCTGAAAAATGTCGAAATAGCTGCTCCAAAGTGCTGTTGACATGACATAGCCAAGCCCAAGCATTACGCATTGGCAAGTTCCTTTCCTTTCCTTTTCTTTTCTTTTCTTTTTTTTATTTTTATTTTTATTTATTTCTGAAACGCATTGGCAAGTTAAGACTTTCGAGAATGAATTGATATTGTTTGTAATAGACGTGCCCTTTACGTAGAGCTTGTTTGGATTTTTTTAAAATAAGCTGGTTTTGACTTTTTTTATCTAAAAGCTGTTTTTAAGACTGATTGAATGTACAACTTGAAAATGCTTTTACCTTTTATAACTTTTTTGAAATAAATTACGTGGTGTTTATGAAAAAAAAGCTCATGAAAAACTTTTTTATTTACATTGTTAACCTCTTTTTGCGAACAAATTAAAATTTCATTCACATCTTTATCTTTGTTTTACATTATTTTTTATAACAATAAGAGTTTTTGACGTATTTAGTATACATGTTTAAAAGCTTTGCTAAAATAAAAAAAATAAAAAAAAAATTTCCATGCACTATACAAACAAAAAAAAATCTCTACTCATGCTTCTCTTCTTGTATTGCTTAAAAATAAAAGCACCAGCTCTTCAACTAGCCCTTGGTAATAAAAGCACAAGCTCTTCAACTAGCCCTTGGTTCTTTTATGCAAACGATGCGCATTAATCAGTGTGTTTTTTTTTTTTTTTAATTTTTTTTCAAGTATTTTGCATATTTACACCCCCAAACTTGTAGGACTTGGCAACTTACCCGTAAACTTTCATTTTTGACATTAAGTTGGCAATTACTTAATTTTATTCGAATCTAGAAATTTTAGGAATCAAATTCCATGAGAATCAGTTCCATTGAACCAAATGAGTAATCACAAGAATTAAAAACGGATCATTATACTCTGACCAAGTTGCTTTCTCAATATCCAATCAGTGTTAAAACTTGTTCAACCAACCCAGTATTCCATCTAACCGCCAAAAAGGAAAAACCTCTAATACTACATGCATTAAAAACCACCATAGCTCTCCTAAAAAAAAAAAAAAAAAAAAAAAAAAAAAAAAAAAAAAAAAAAAAACACCCAACACCCCCCCAAAAAAAAAAAAAAAAAAAAAAAAAAAAAAAAAAAAAAGAAAAAAAAACCAAACAAAAAAGTAGACAACCAACAATGGGGCAAAAGTAGTCTTTCCACTCAATTTCTTTGACATATTATACTAAATCTTTCCGAACCAAATCTATTATTCAAAACCAAAAAGTTGGTATTTGAATAGAGACAGTTGATCAATATAAGAAAGTAGCTTTCAACCGTTGAACTCATTCATCAGTAAACCAAAAACATGCCAACCCTACAAGACGAACAAAAACTTGGCCATTTCTCTGCTTACTAAGTTCAGTCACACCAAGGCTTGAAAAAGGTGGTTTTTTTTTTAAAAAAAAAAAAAATTAAATGAAAGCCCCTGTACCATTAGGGGTGTCTTACCACGTCATATCTCATTTTGGGCTCTCAAGCGGGCCATTGTTGGGCCCAGTGCACCACCCCTCAAGGCCCTAAACGACCATGAGCCACTGGATGAACCCCCTTTCTTAGTCCAATTATCCTCCTGGGATAGCTGTGCCTTCTTTGCACTTAAAGCTTCGCAGATTTCATCCCAAACATTTACCTTCCCATTTTCTACAAACATAAACAAAATATTAAGCTCATTCTATGAAAGTCAAATCATATTCAACAACCTTGGATACACCATTTGTAACCTGATTCTTTGCAAAAATATAAACAATACCTTGTCTTGGGGCCGCAGGTTCCTTGCCCTTAGGTTCCTTGTAGGACTTTTGCCTAGAGCATGAAGCACCACCTTGATCTCCTGAAGCAACTTGGCTGACCCCAGCAGTGACTGATTTGGCTGCACTTACGTTGCCGTGCTTGATTATTCGAACATCGACAAGGGACGAATAATCCACCTGCAGCGAAGCACCAGTTGTTAGAGCCATGCGGTCAAGAATCAGAAACAGTACACAGGATTTGCTGATTGTTATCAGAAGTTAATCATATGGGGAAGAAAAAACATGGGGTTGTAAGATACCAGGACTGAGATGTCAATATATCTGACATCAGATATCAAACCATGGGAGATTCTAACAATGCCCCAGAAGATAAATAAGATATTGTTAAAGTTAAATCGCAGAAGTTAATTGTATGGGGAAAAAAATAAGGGGTTGTAACATACCAGGATCTAGATGTCAATATATCTAACATCAGATATCAAACTATGGGAGATTTTAACAATGCCCCGGAAGATAATAAGATATCATTAAAGTTAAATCAACATCATAGTCTTATAGTACTTCTGTTTTGTTTGTTGTTTTTTAAAGTTTGTTTTTTTAATTCTTGGGTGGATCTCTCATCTATCCTCATCTTTTGTTTATTTTTTAAGTGATTAATGAAATTTTCGTTTCCTATCCAAAAAAAAAAAATTTAAATCACAGCCTATAATGGGAGCCTTAACCATTAATTTTTTACAAGGCAATGCCATTTCTTTAGTAAGATTATTGATTATGTCACTAAGAGCAAAATAGCAATAGTAGACTTGTGCATATCGGAGAAAAGAGAAAGTACCTCTAGAGAGCCATCTTCCTTATAAATAGATGTTTCTGGTTTTGCTGCAGATGCCTCGTCCCCTTGCTCCTCAAAAACAATTGGATACTCTGGAACTTGTACTAGTGTAATCCTATCGGATTTAGGATCATACTTTGATATTTTTCCAACCTAAAGAAAAGTAACCTTGTTATATGGTACACTTGATGTTCATGAAAAGCGCAGATATTAGGTATTTTATTTCTAGGCAAAAGAATTGCTAATGAAGTTAATATATTAGGCTACCAGCAGAAAGAATCATACCCGAAAGAAGGAGAGTTCAGGAGTCCAGGACGGTGACAACTCAATCAAACGATACGCAACTGTATCACCTTCCTGCAGTACATTGAAAGCTCCATCACCTTCAAATAAATATTTGTTTACCATATGAAATGACAACCATAGCCAACTGGCTCTATCATTTTGTGTTGAAAGAATTTTACTACTCCAACATGCTCCATATGTTTATCAACACCACAAGCTCTCCAAAATAACAAGTGACTGTACTAAAGGATGTTTAAGAACTGCTAAAAGGCTGAATTTACAAGAGAATGCAGAGAAGAACAGAAGATTGAACGGTCTTAACAGCCAAAACTCTTTTCACTGCCAAATTATTTTACCTTTCCCTTACGGCTTTACTAAAGGAATATCTAGACCTATACAAGCACAAATTAGAGCATGAGGCAACAAACCTGAGGCAAAGAGGTACAGGGTTTAAGCTTATTGAAGTCCACATGACCAATCACATTCGTCTCTTCTTCAATAATCATCATCTCCGAAGAATCTTGGTTACGCCTTTTCTGATCACTCCTTTTATGGAATCCAGTTTTTTCTTTGCCCCATTTTTGACCTTTTCTCTTGCTTGTTATTCCATTCCACTGAAAATTTTCCTGAAACAAGAATCAAGAAGACAAATTTGCAGAAGCACCAAAGGGACGGAAAGAGATCGACTCATAAAAGTTAGAACACTTTGTAAGCAACCAAAAGTTGATAATCATGGAAGAACTTGTGCCCAGTGTCATATGTTTGCTTGATAACATAGGAAAAGACAGCAGCAAATTAGATTGCAGGCGACAGAATGTTATTACTAGAAAGAAAAGAGAGTGTCGAAAATACCATTGAAATTTCAGGCTGCCGAACCGGTTGATCTGCATCCACTGTAACAAAGTACGTTTATCATATAATTGCAGTAGCATGGTAATAACTTAACATGCAATTCTAGTGAATGAACCAACATCAAATACTTGTTAAAGGAGAGAGAGGAAAAAATTACCCATCCAACTTTCTAACCAAAATATATACCTTTTCCAGAGGACTCAAAACGAATGTGTCCTGGCCTAACTACAACAGGAACAACATCACCATCTTCATAGTCACTTTTATCTCGTTTTTTATGTTCTTCAGTAATGCAATTATCTTTGGCAGATGATTGCTCATTGTCTGTTTTCTGTAGCTTTGTCTGATGTAGCTGAAAATTGAACATAATGAACAATGGAGACAGATTTACCTACTAAAGCATGACAGTAGCTCTCAAACATCCATAATGGCAACGTCGAATGCATCCATGAAGTCAAAAGGTTAACACTTTGCATTTTACACAATTTAGGCACATAAAAAATAGCTTGGAATTTTAAGCATGCTAACTCCACAATGCAAGATCTTCCATGTGTATGCCACATATGCACAACCTTTTTTTAGCATGTATGAAAAGTAACTTCATGTGTTTCCCGTAACACAAGAATAATAACAATATTAAAAACAAAAGGCTTCATATGTTATCATCACTAGACCAGATTACCTCATTTTCTTTCTTTTTTGCTCGTTCTATCAACCACTGCCTTTTGGCTCTTTTACGTCGAGTACTTCTACTGGGGCCCTGATTGAAATAATTCGAATGACATTACACAAATTAGTATTATGGTTTCAAAACTGTATAATGACTCAAAAAAAAAAAAAAGTACGTGTTAATAAGAAAAACACTGGAAAATGTAAATCTCAAATATCCTACAAGTGGTGATCATCTACCTACATTCCTTAATATTTGGTTCTAGGTTCGGTTACATGGGTATAAGTTCAAAGTTATTACTTGCATGAAGCATGAACCCCGAGGAAATCAACCTTTGCTCGATTAAATGTGTTTTTTAATAAGGTGATACACTTTTGTTAAGTTCTTTACATTTTTTGTACCAAAATTAACGCTAATGTCAATTGGAAAACATTTGTTAAGATGCTATCAAAGTTATAACTATATTATATAAAGACATTGATAAAAGGCAATGTTGAACAAAAGTTCAAAGTAGTAGTAAAAGACCTTTTTAATTCCATCGTGTGTATGAGATGAAGCGACACTCTTTTTACCATTCTCTTGTGGTTCACAGGACCTACAAAATAACAAAAGAGTAATACAGGGAAAAGAACTCGATATCATAGATCATGCCATGAATGAAAATGCCATAAAAGTACCTCTTTTCACTTGGCGTAGTTACGTTAATGTTATTCGTTCTTTCATCACTTTCGGTGGTACTCAAATAATCTAGCTCACCATCTGTATCCGGTGACTTGTCATTCTTGACAGGACTATTCTCTAGAAGGAGAATATGTTGGTGAGAACTCTCGTCTTTCTTTGGCGGAATCTCATTCTGAACATCTTCTGGAGTGCCTGAACATTCTTCCACAGTAGCAGATTTCTTTCTCTTCTTCCTATCACTGGAAAACAATAAACGATCAATGTCAGAAAAGAAGCATACTTTGGTAACCTAAAAGGAAAATACATAATCACTAAACTCCGCCTGTACCCAGTTTCGCCATCCTAGTACATAACTTTTGAATACTTAAGACATACTTCTTGCATCTAAATCAAGTATCGCCAAAATTGCAAGAAAAATAACAAAGTATATTAGACTAATTCATCTTACATACTTTGACCTCTTTAATTTCTTCGATGCTTTCCTTTTATTGGAAACTTCTTTCTTCTCAAGGGAATTGTCTAATTGCAATGCCTTCCTTTTCTTGGAAACGACTTTCTTCTCCGGTTCCGGGGTATTGTCTATGTGTAAATCTTCCGACTTTGCAGGTTCTTCTTCTTCGCTTTCACTCTCGTAACCTCCGGTCTCCCTTGCGAACTCCTCAGTGGCCAGAAGCTTCATGCCTGGAACCGCATCTTGCTCCTCCGCTACTTCTTCAACCTCAAAAGACTTTCTCCCATCACCAACTCCAATAATATCAGTGGAAGATGGACCCTTTTTCTTTTTCACGCTGTTGCAGAAACAAATAACAGAAATAAAACATATAACTATCTTTCTGCCAAAATAATGTGAATCAACACCGGGTAAGCGGAAAAAAAGGTACCCATTTTAAGAAATTTAGTAATGAACTGACCGGATAATATCTTTGTCCTTCAAAATAGACGTTGATTCAAAAGGTGGCAACACAAAACCATCCATCTGCAAGGGGAAAAAAAAACCAAATCGCGGAAATGTGCTATTATCAAAATCAAGCACCAAAAAAAAAAAAAAGAAACCCCGTGTTTGGAATGCAAATGGATTGTCACAATTCATATTAAACTTGCAGAAAAACTAAACACTAGTCAGTGACACAAGAATATGAAGCTGGTTCACGCCCCACCCCCAACAACCAAAAAAAAAAACCATAATACTCCGTTTGGATGCCGAGAAACAATGAAGGAAAGGGAGAAAAAGAGCTGCATGGATAGTAAACCCATTGCAAAACTTCCCATTTCTCCTTGTCATTTCTCGTCAACGATTAAATTCATCTTGGCTGGGTTTGATTGTTCTAAAATGGGGAATCAGAGGATTCTTACAGAAAGAACGAGGCCATCTGAGCAAGCGTCGTCGATGTCGAAAACGCGAAGGAGATGATCGGCGACTTCGGAGATGGTCTCGTGGTGTGGCTTTAGAAGAACCCAGCTTCGCTTGAGTCCTTCCATTCTCTGTGACTTGGTCAGCATTTTACAGTCCTCGAACACCAAACGAAGCCTCAGACCAACCTCCATGGCCACAACACAAGATTAACACCGAGAAATACAGACAAGAAAAAGAGGAGAAACTCGATAATGGGTTTTGAATTTTGATAATCGCAAAATGGCTTGTGCTTAAACCCCCTCAGTCACAAACTCTTCACTCCTCACTCTCGGTGGACGGTGACGCTTTTGCTTTTTTCGCTCTTCCAGGTTTCGGAGACTGTTTCACCGGAGGAGTCATTCTGTGGGTTTTACTGGGCCCACTGAAACTGGCCGCCCTGGCCCTGGCCCTGGCCCATTGTCTCTAGATTGGGTCTTGTCTTCTACTAAGCCCAATATAGGTAATGCTCTATTTTTGAGAGATTCCTCCAACTTTGTTTGATTTTAATTTGAGAAAATTTTAAGTTTAATTATTATTATTTATGTTAATATACAAAATTTTACTGTCACTGTGAAAAATGAGCTACGTATTACGTTTTTATGACCCGTAAATTATGAACAAATAACTTGTAAATTACAAAAAATAACAAGTAAATAATAAAAAATAATCTATATGAAAAAATAACTTACAGATTATCAGCGGTATAATATAAATTTACAATAATTACAGAAATAAAATAGTGTTATGTGTTGTCTTGAATTTCCTATTTCGAGTATTTTTAATCTTTTTCATTGGAACAAATTGAGATTTACATACAGTAAAATGAATGGTGTATTCATAACTCGATGGTTGTTGTTGTTGTTATTATTATTATTATTGGTAAACGTTGTTAACTTGTGCTATTAGTAGTCTCCATTATTTTTCTTTTTCTTCTATTCTTTTTTTTTTTGTTGCTTTATTGTTCAATTAATTTTTTTATCCTTTTTTAAATCAATTTATTACATTCCAGTAACAAAATTCAAGGCTGAAAAGGATAATATTTTAATGAGCAAGGGTAGATTGGCAATACATATAGATATAAGGTTTTTTTCCTGAAAGAATATAGCTATAAGTTTATCATTTGTTTACCTTGAGTACGTAATTAAGTGAACAGAAAAGTTGAAAACTCAGCTCAACACACGTCACAAAATCACGCTCAGTCAATAAATACAAAAGTTAATCTCAAACCTATTTAAAAAAATCTCTCTCGTACCATATTACTAAATTAAAGTTAATTTAAAGCTAATCAGAAACTCTACTAAGGATTTCAATTACACTACTTGAATTATCCACATTTATTTTCCTCTCATATAAATACCATATCCACGTCTTGGATTTAATTATAGAAAATTTTGTATAAACCCAACTGCAAAAATTGAAAATTATAATAAACATATTAACTATTTTTTAAATATTTATGTGCATAAGACTTGTTAATCATACATTTACCAAGTCTAACTATTTTGACATCTTAACTCACACTTCAATTATAACGATTTGTCCGCTCTCACAATTTATTTATTTTTCATGCGGGACAATTCATATTAAAAAATAAATATTTCTTACTTTCTCATTTGTTATTGTTATTTTTTTTTTTTTATAATTTCTAATCATATCCTAACGAACTTCCTTATAATTCACTCTCATAAAAAAAATATTTATGATTTCCCAAGAGAGTTTGGATTTTGTTGGTAAAAGAAAAACTTGAATAATCTAATATAATCTATCTAATCTAACAATTATAAAAGCATTAATACACTTTTCCTTGTGGCGTTGACACGTGAGGGAGCGTTTTCTTCTGTTTCATTTTTTTCCTTTTGCTTTTCATACTTTTATTTTTTGTCCTACTTTTTTGCATGTTTGCCATTTATTTATGTTACTTCTCTTTTTTCGACCTTTTTATGTATATATTTTAAAATCTACTTCGTTAAATTATTTTTCCCTTCGTTTATTTTTTATAACTATGTCCTTACTCATATAGTTTCCTTACAATTCTCTATGATTTTAGGTTACACGTATTTGACTAATTTATTGTTCTTTTGTACTTCATTGAAATATTTTTTTCTCACACACCCCTAAGCAAATATTCTATCTTTCTCACGTGCACACCTAATTAATTTTCTATGCAATTTGTTTTTAAATATGTTTTATATTTAAAAAACACTACTGAAACTTCAATATGCACTTAAGCAAACATCTTTTTCCTTTTCGCATGTACATCATAATTAGTTTTTGATTTGATTTGTTCATATTATTTTAGCACATTCAACTTTATTTATGAAAATTTAATATTCGATATAAATATACATTGGGATTGAAAAACACATTTTTATTTATATTTTTTTAAAAGCCTAATTTTTTAAATGTGACTTATCGAAATTATACATATATTTAATTGTTCTTTAATCTCCTTTACTACTAGAGTTCAAAATCAAATTGAGTTTTTTTAATAGATTACTCACGCATGATAATACTTTACGTGCAAGTACGTCCCAAAAAAGTAGTAATATAAAAGCATTAATCTAACTTTCAAGCTTGGTCCTCCACATGTACCGACGTTTTATTACTCCCTTTTTTTTTTTTTTGTGGTTTCATTGTCGTTTTTATACCATTTACGTTTTAAGAAAAACTATAAATACGCTCAAAATAATAAAATATTATTTATAACACTTTATTAAAAAATACATAATTATTATATAATTAATAAAATAAAATAAAATCATGATAACACCCAGATATTTTATAAAAATCTCTCATAAACAAAACCTGCAAATAAATTCATAGAAAGAAATAAATAAAAAGTCCGTTTAGTTCGCTGATTCGAGTTTTTAATTCGAGTTGAGATATGATTTTATGTGAGAATTTTTTATTGTAGTAAAAAAATTAAATGTGATTGTTTATGAGAGTTTTTTACTGTAATAAAACTCAAATTTTAAACTCAAATAAGCGAAATGAACAGGGTTAAAATCCACGCCACATCTTTCACTTCATTTTAGCCTTTCACTTCATTTTAGCGGCCGTCTCATGAAATGACAGTAACAACCTACACTTTCCAGATTAATTACACATCCAACCTTAAAAAAAGTAAAAAAAAAAAAAACGAAAAAAAGAAAAGAAAAAAACTTGCAACTCTCACATCGGTATACGGTACCGTATACCGACTGATGATGAGGAAAAATCTGATATCTGATCATGGACTGTGACGACGAACTTCTCTAGTTCTTTTGCAGCAGCAGCAGCAAATGCAATCAAACAAATAAAAATAAAACCAAAAAAGAAAAAAAACAAAAAACAAAAAACAAAACAAAACTGAAATCTGGCCACTTACAGTCCGAAGCGAGCCATGGTGGAGCTGAGGCACTCGAGCTCGATCGGAGCTCGGTCCTCTTCGTCTCCAATGAAGCGCGAAGAGGACTCCTCCCCTCTGATCTCCGACGCCTTTTCCGACGACGACGCTCGCGGCCGCCACGCCCACAAGGATCGCGACCGCTCCTTCTTCTGCTCCCATTTCCACTCCCTCTTCCCCGACGATTCTAGGGTTTCTCCCCATAACTCCAGGATCTCGCTCTTCTTCCTCGTCTTCCTCCTCCTCGTCGCCTCGATCTCCATTTTCTCCGTCGTCAAACACATGGTCAGTATTCTTCCTTCTTTCGCCGCGATTCGCATTTGTTTGAATTAGGAATTCGGAATTAGTGCCTTAATTTGACTTCCTTATTTTTTTATAACGTTAATTTTGTTGATAATGATATGTTTTAGTAATGGTGATTATCTCGGCTTGAAAACTTCTGATCGAGGCCTTTGTAAAAATATCTCAATAGAAAAGTTTTATTAGTAAAATAACTTTTTAAAAATTTTTATTTGCAAAATGGTTACGCAACGATCATGAACGACTACTTTTTATAAAGAACTCGATAAGAACGATCGAGTAGTCGTTATAAAAAATAAAGAAGGTCATTTTACCAATTTCACGATAGTCATTTTAGCATATTTCTCCTTCTGATCTTGTTTCAATTTACGTGTTTCGATAATAGTTTCATGTGGTAACCCTGTTTATGAATGATATACAGAATACTCCATACTTGTGTTGGAAAGATGGCATTGTTCTTCACTGCCCACAAGTAAGTAATTTTAAAGGTCTTTTTTTATTTATTTTTGGTTGCTGCTCATAAAATAAAGCTTTTGATTGTCTTTTCAACTCTTATATTTGGTCAATCTCTAATTTTCTAGGTCAAGGAACCTCCTTCACTGTGGGAGAATCCTTACTCAGCAACCACGTCTTGGAAGTCGTGCGCTGAGCGCCGGGATGGTGGGATATCAGGTAATTGAAGGATCTGTTTGAAGTTTGAATTATGCATATGGATTGATGTTTGAAACAGGACTGACATTCTTAACAATGTCTACATTTATCTTGACTGGATATTGATGATTGGATGGAAATCATGACTACTAAAATTATTTAGTGGGTCCTGTCTGTTTTTCAAATTTATTCATGTTATCTTCTTGGAAATGCACAGATCTTCCTCCTGAGAATGAAACAAATGGATACATATTCATCCATGCCGAGGGAGGTTTAAATCAACAACGAATTGCGGTAAGTCATGCTTCTTGGAGTGAATGTAATCGGTTTTTTTTTTTTTTCTTCCCTTATTCCTTTCTATAGCTTATATACATAATTGGTTAACTGGTCCCCTCTACGCATTCCTAAAATTTTAGTCTTCTTTGGCATATTTTTTTCACAGGAGTTATTATTTTATTATACTCAGATATCTGGAGCAATGTAAATGTATTTATGTACTTTAAAATTTTAAGTGGAAACTGATTCCAGTCTGGTTGGAATGTGTATGTGTCTATGTGAGTAAGACAATTTCCCCTTACATATTCCATTAAGCGGGAGATTACCTGAATATTGAATATTGTTTGAATGTATAATTCTGCATTGGTATTTATCTATTAGCTCAAAGGATATCTATAGTTTCTACATTGGCAAAATACCACTCTCATTTTTATAGGATAGATAAATTAAAAATTCAAAAGCATAGAAAGAAATGAATGTTTAACATGTTCTTTTTAACGCAGATATGCAATGCAGTCGCAGTTGCCAAGATAATGAATGCTACTCTTATTTTGCCAGTGTTGAAGCAGGATCAGATTTGGAAAGACAAAACGTGAGATACCTTTGCCAATATTGACATAAGTTTCAATTTTATGTTCACGTTGATAGAAATCAGATATAAACAAACAATCAACGGCAGTAACTGTTAATGTTGCACATCCATCATTTAAAATGGCATAACTGGGAATGCAATGTTTTTTATAGTGAGTGACATCAATATTTAAGGAATTTATAGACCTATACCATTTTCACTTCCTTTTCCCTATAACAAATCCCTCAATAAAATTTGATTCTTTCTGTTGTTTTCTTATTGAGTTTATTTCTATTGGCCAGTGCCACTTGATCAAACTGTAAATTGATGCTGATATCATTGTCAAATGTTAATGTGAAGAATAAAAAATGTATTAGAATGGGGTCTATGGGAGATTGTTACTCTGGATGAGGATTAAGGTGCTTTAATTCATGTTGAGGCACCCATGTATCTCTAGAAAGAGAGTTGAGTCTCTCAATTTCATAAATGCACTTGTGTTGCATAAGCTAACGCTAAATTAACTGTAGGTTGAAGAGTATTCTCACTTTTATCTTGTTCTCTTAAATTTTTATTATTTTTTCTTGTTTTACTTCATGTAGCTCACGTTTTGAGTTCATACTGAATTTCTTGATGATGTGTTACCATTAACTCCAATGCTTGTTCCTCGTGAACTTGAAAACATCTACAGGAATTTTGAAGACATCTTTGATGTAGATCATTTCATTGATTACCTAAAGGATGATGTGCGGATTGTTCGTGATATTCCTGATTGGTTTACAGACAAAACAGAGCTTTTTTCAAGTATAAGGTTAGGCTGTTTATCATCTTTTACTATTAACTACCTGATTTTTAGCAAAATAAATCATCATTAAGAAAGGATCATATTTGACAAGAATGATACCAATGAAGTGTGGACTAATAGAATGGCTAACCTTCTTGGTTTTACTCCTATGCTGAAATTGTGATCTATCTAATCAAATTGTAAGTGCTAGTGTATGCTCTCGACCTCTGATCCAAATTTAGCCCATTCGTTTTATGGAAGGTTTAAAAGAAAATCCAAAAAATTGATTTTTTTTTCGTGGCCTAATTCCTTTGGGTTGCAATGGGTACTGATAAATGGAAAAATGTGTTTGTCTTTCAGACGGACGGTAAAAAATATTCCAAAGTATGCACCTGCGCAATTTTATATTGACAATGTTCTACCTCGAGTCAAAGAGAAGAAGATAATGGCCCTAAAGCCTTTTGTTGATCGACTTGGGTAAGTCATTCCTTTCTTGATGTTATTGTTTTCTTATAAAAATGGAATTATAGGAGGGATCATTGTAGTGTTATTTCACATATTACGTTTTGAAGAAGTTTATCTTTGAAGACTGAGAGGGACGATTTATGTTTCAGGTATGATAATGTTCCTCCGGAGATTAACAGGCTGAGGTGCAGGGTGAACTATCACGCTCTGAAATTTCTTCCTGAGATAGAGCAGATGGCTGATTTATTGGCAGCAAGGATGAGAAACCGTACTGGAAGTTCAAATCCTTACATGTAATGTTTCCATTTGGATGTTGCTCGTGCCTGTTCAGGCTTCACTTATATTAGAGGTAAGAAGACTAACAAACTTTCCCATAACAGGGCTCTTCATCTTAGGTTTGAGAAAGGGATGGTTGGCTTGTCTTTCTGTGATTTTGTGGGGACGAGAGAGGAGAAAGCTAGCATGGCAGAATATAGAAAAAAAGAGTGGCCACGACGATACAAGGTAATCCAATGTGTAATAACTGATCTTCCTATCTTCTCATGCTGAGCACGACCTGGAAAAGCGCATACCTCATTCCCTCTTTGTGGTTTTTGCAGAATGGTTCCCATTTATGGCAACTGGCCCTGCAGAAGCGAAAGGAAGGACGATGTCCACTCGAGCCAGGGGAAGTGGCAGTCATTCTCCGGGCAATGGGTTACCCCAAGGAAACTCAAATTTATGTTGCTTCCGGGCAGGTCTATGGTGGACAGAACAGAATGGCACCCCTCCGGAACATGTTCCCAAATCTGGTATGCTCTTTTTCTTTTTCTTTTCATTTTCCTTTCACCCTAAGGACGTCTATTACAAATAGGCTTTTGGATTCTGTTGTTTTAGAAATAGTTCCACTTGATTCTCAAATGATGTGTTCGATGTGACAATTCGTAACAGGTAACAAAGCAGGAGCTGGCGACTCAGGAAGAGTTGGATAAATTCAAGAAGCATGTGACTAGCTTGGCTGCACTCGACTTCTTGGTGTGCTTGAAGTCCGATGTCTTTGTGATGACTCACGGAGGTAACTTTGCCAAGCTGATCATTGGGGCTCGCCGGTACATGGGACACCATCAAAAATCCATAAAACCAGACAAGGGTCTTATGTCCAAGTCTTTTGGGGACCCATACATGGGATGGGCGACCTTTGTTGAGGACGTTATTGTCACCCACCAGACGCGGACTGGATTGCCAGAAGAAACCTTCCCTAACTATGACTTATGGGAGAACCCTCTAACTCCATGCATGTGCAAAGCTTGAACAGAACAGGGATACTCAACTCAAAGTTTCTCCCAGATTGCTTTCAGAGCTTCGACTCCGAGAACTTGGGTACAATGTTTGTGGAATTAAATTTCTCTTTGTCAGAAGGTAGTCGAGAAATCCGCAAGGAGTGGCTAATGGAAACGCTAAGGTGGGAAATTGAGGGTATGCACGCGAAGTACAGACGGCAGGAGATAGATTTAACAATTTCATGACGGGCCTTTTATTTTTATTATAACCATTTGTTCTATCTTCTTTTCAGAAACGGTCAGCGATCAAGGTCTCGATTTTTCTAATATATATATTTTTTTCTTTTGCAGTTCTGTCTCAAGAACATGAACATAAATTCTCTTGTATCATTTAAACTCTGTAAATTTACAAGTGAAATGTGAAAGATTTCTTATGTGGAGCTATTGCCGGTGAAAAGTGCCAAAGCCATTAAAACATTTAAGACAGATTCATGGGGAAGTAATGAAGTAAGAATTAACGCAAAAAAAAAAAAAAAAAAAAAAAAAAAAAAAAAAAAAAAAGAAAAAAAAAGGGATTTTCTTTAATGTTTCTTTTTTAAAAAAACACGATATTCTCTATTTATTAGCTGTAAAATTTATATTAAATTAAAAACTAATATAATTTTAACGGCCGTTAAAAAAAATACTAGTGTTCTTAAAAGTACAAAAAGCACTAAAGAAATTCTATAAAAAAAAAAGTAGAGGAATGTCTTTTTGAGTAGAGAAATTTTCTTTTAAAGGAAAGAAAATTGGTAAAAAGGGTCGTGTGATAAGTCATAAGAGGCACTCTCTGTCGTTATGTGAATGAATAACTGTGCATGTAGTACTGGTGGGCAGGTAAATTGGTTGGCAGCGTACTTGTGTTTGGCTTTGGAACCATGTTCTTATTTTTGGGAAAGTGAAAGGGATAAGTCTACAATTTTTATTTATTTTGATTTTTTTTTTTTGGTAGAAAGGAATAAGTTTACAATCGGTGAATATGGACAATTCGTTTCCATATGGGTTAACCTTTGAAAACCATCTTTTAAGGAAATTGATCAGAGGGCAAAAGAAAAATACAATCGGTGAATATGGACAATTTGTTTCCATATGAGTTAACCTTTGGAAACCATCTTTTAAGGAAATTGATCAGAGGGTAAAAGAAAAATGGAACAAGTATTTAATTGGTGTATGACACAGAGCTTACCACATTGACTTTTTCCATTTGGAAGCCATCTTTTTAAGGCAATTGAAAGGGAAATGGGATGTACAATGCTTCCACTTTTTCCAGCTGTTTGATGGAGCTTAAAACAACCTCTTTCATTGAAATTTTGTCAGTTGGTGGTTTAACCAAAAGAAAAAACAAAAAAAAAACATTTTTCAACAGCACCAATAATTTCTTTCATCGTTTATGGCTGAAAAATAAAAATTAAAAGTATATCAGGAAAAATGACATAGATCATAATTAATAAGAAAACATAAACAAGTCTACATAATCAGTGAATGAAAATTGTTTACCACATGGACCCTTTTTACATTTGGAAACCATTTAAAAAAGGGAAATGGTACTTTCATCTTTAAAGAAATTGTTTTTTCAGTATCTTAAAACTGATTTTTAAGATCTAAAGTGTCCTTTTAAAACTAATAACTTTAAAAATATTTTTACATTTTAATTTTTAAATGTTTTAAAGTATTTTCAAGAATTTCTTTAAAAAAAATTATTAGTTTATTATTAATCAGTGAGAATGGTAAAATATACATTTTATGTCTCAAAAATTAAGGAAGTACCGAAAGAACGTTTTTCTTAAGAGTGACAATTCGTGTCACGTGTCGTGTTTTGATCGTTTCTTCTTAAATCTACAGTCAACTCGAACACGATCCGTGATATGAATTTTTTTAAAAACCGCAACACGACTACCTTACAGGTTGACACGACACGACAGAAAAATGACCCGTGACACGAATTAACCCGTGAATATGAAATTGACACGAAAATTATATACATTTCTTTAATTTTTTACATATTAGAAATAACTTAAAATTTATAACACTAAAATACAATAATATTCATTCAAATTAAGCAAATAATAATATAAGATTTTGAGTATAACTATTATGATATCACAAGTTCATAATAAAATTTAAAATATGTAATGAAAAATATATATTTAATTTTTTACGAGTTTCGTATCATGTTCGGATTAGGAGGGTCTAACTCGAAATTAACTCGTGTTTTCGTGTCAATTTTAGGTTGACTAAATTTTGACTCGATCCTCTTTTTTTCTAATCCTAACCCGTGAATTCGTATCGTTTTTAAATCGTGTTGTCGTGTCGTAATTTATATTACTAGCCTTAATTTTTTCAACGGTGAATATACTGTTTTAGTATTATTAAAAATATAGAGTAACATCGACATGTTTCACTATAATAAGAATACGAAAGTGATTTTGTCCTTTGAGAAAATTGGAAGGGAATAAGTTATTGTTGGATTTTTTTTTTCTTTTAATGAGTTACTTTTAGACACTGGTGTTATTGGTTTACTATGATAAAGATTAACGACCGAGAGCAAACATTATTTTAAGGTTTTCCAAAGAGAAACATATGACATTTTAATTTCGTAGTATATAAAAAAAAATAAAACAAAATCGTACAAACTACAAACCATAAGATATGGTTTGTGAAACAGAGGATCTGAGTCCACCTGTCAAAACAGTCACAGACTTTTCATTTTTACCCGCGAAAAAAGAAGAAGAGGAGTGAAGAAATGCACGACGGCAAAACTGAAAACAGTAACAAGGTTACACGATCACCGGTTTTTACGGTTTAACGGCGTAAGCTTTCTCTTTAAAACAACCCCAACAAAAAGATACCCAAAAAAAGTGAGCAATTTGAGCTTCTCCCACCAACTGTAACCATGAAGTTCTTCTTCGCAAGCTCTATATGCTTCTTCCTAGGATTTCTCCTCCTCGTTCGTAGGTACTTTTACTTTCTTTGCTCTAAATTCATTATAGTAAAAAAAAAAAAAAAGGGGTCTTTGAATTTTCAACTATATTGTTAGTATCTTGTTCAACTGATGACAATAGTTCTCGAAAGCAGCAACCTTTTTTTCATTTACCCTACAATACGTGCCTTGTGGGCTTTTTTTTTAACCCCAAAGTTTTAATTTCTTTTCCATGATTAAAACATGCTCTTTGGTGGAAGCAAAATTGTTAATTGATGATCTTCAGGATTTCTCTGCCCATTTGGGCCTCAGTTAAAGGTTTGGAGTGTTTATAATCAGTTGTGTGGCAAATAATTTGACCCCAGAAAAGAAAATTTCCAGATTTATGAAATACATATGTGTGTGTGTGTGATTGAAAAAACCATTTTCAGGGTATCATCAGAACGTGCCATTTTCCCTCCAAGAGGTTGGAACTCGTATGACTCTTTTAGCTGGACAATTTCAGAACAAGAGTTTCTGCAAAGTGCTGAAATCATATCTAAAACGCTACTTCACCATGGATATGAGGTTCATATAGCTATTTTAGTTTGAAAATTATTCAACATGAAGCTCATTTATGTGTTATCTTTTGCAATGCAGTATGTGGTGGTGGATTACCTTTGGTATAGAAGAAAGGTTCCGGGTGCTTATACGGATTCTCTTGGCTATGATGTGATCGACGAATGGGGCAGAATGCTGCCTGATCCAGGTAGATGGCCGTCTTCCAAAGGAGGAAAAGGGTTTACTGAAGTGGCAAAAAAAGTGCATAGTATGGGTTTGAAGTTTGGGATTCATGTCATGAGAGGGATAAGCACACAGGCAGTAAATGCAAATACCCCTATCTTGGACACAACCAAGGTATTATCGATTCCACAGCGACTGTATTTTATATGTTACAAGAATCATTGGACTGTCAATATTTTAGGTTTTATTTTCATGTCTTGTCAGGGAGGTGCTTACGAAGAGTCTGGAAGAAAGTGGACAGCAAAAGATATAGGGATCAAGGAAAGGGCTTGCGCATGGATGTCGAACGGTTTTATGAGTGTGGATACCAAGTTGGGGGCTGGAAGGGCCTTCCTTAGGTCGCTTTATCGACAGTATGCTGAGTGGGGTGTCGATTTTGGTAATTTGACCTTCTGATAAATGAATTTTGATCTTGATTACTACTGCATACGTTGTTTGAGGAGCCTGGATTGACTGCATTATCGAGTTGCATTTAAATGACCATATAATGATTTTAGCATATGTAGTTAGTTATTCTGGTATTCCAGGAGAAGACAAGATTTTTTATACTTTATTAACATATCATATCATGTTATGATCTCATTTGTAATCAATCGTTCTGACATAGAAAATTGACTGGCTGCCGGATATATGTTTTCTTCTAGTGAAACATGACTGTGTATTTGGTGATGACTTGGACGTGAATGAAATAAGCTTTGTTTCAGAGGTAAGCAACCGTGCTCTCTCTCTCTCTCTCTCTTAATAATGTTATCATTGTTGATATTGTGGGTGGATTTACTTATGCAGGTTCTCAAGGAACTTGACCGTCCTATACTTTATTCTCTTTCTCCTGGAACCAGTGTAACACCTGCTATGGCCAAGGCTGTGAGCGGACTAGCCAATATGTACAGGATAACTGGGGATGATTGGGATACGTGGGGAGATGTTGCATTTCATTTCAATGTTACAAGGTGAAAAATATTTTATTACGATTCTTTCATATCTCGATTTCAGACCATACAATTGTCTCTTTTCTCACTTAAGAGGAAAAGGAGAAGATTTAGTGGTTCTAATACACACTTCTACCCAATTCTTCCTCAGGGACTTTTCTGCCGCTAATATGGTAGGAGCAAAGGGATTGCTGGGGAGGTCATGGCCTGACTTGGATATGCTACCTCTAGGATTGCTTACTGATCCAGGTGAAGACTCAGCATGTTTATTTCCCTGTATTAGTTGATGATTTACTGGACTAAATTCTCCCTTAGGAACTCAACTCACAAGTTAAGAAAATGACACTTTTGAGTGTCACATCCGAGTCAGCTAAATCTTTAGGAAAGAATATTCATTGTGATTCATCTTCCAACTTCTGATAAGCAGTTCTGCAATGAATCATGATAAATGTTTTAAAAGTTGTACTGGTGTTCATTGTTTTATAAGTCTCCTTAAGAGTGAAAGATAAAAGGAATAACTGATGAGATTGAACTGCTTATTTTTTTATTTCAGTACGATATAGATGGATAAATTCATCATTCGATTTGTTATGACTAGGTTCGAACGAAGGTCCACACAGAACGAGTCGGCTTACTTTAGATGAGCAAAGAACTCAGGTATGGCCTTATGAGGATAAATAAGTGTGAATTTGATATTTGTATATCTTGAACTTAATAAGCACTTTTTTTTTTTTTTGATCTTATATACTTCACATTCACAGATGACTTTATGGTCTATGGCCAAGTCTCCTCTCATGTATGGAGGAGATGTGAGAAAGATTGATGAGACCACTTACCGTCTCATCACTAATCCTACTCTGCTGGAGATAAATCATTTTAGCTCAAATAATATGGAGGCGAGTCAATTTTTCTGATTTTCGTATTTTTTAAGATAGACTTCTTCATGGTAGAAATATAAGTTAATTCTTTGTTGAATTGATAGTTCCCTTACATTACTAGTACAACGAGCTTCAACAAGGCAGATGAAGCTGTCTCCTGGCAATCAAGAAAATGTTTGACAGATAGAAGAACTTCTGAATCACATGTTGTGGGTCTCACTAGCTGTTCAGATGTGAAAGCAGTTGGTTGGTCTAATGAAGCTTTTGAGCAAGATGATCTTGAACAAATCTGCTGGAAAGAAAATTCCAAAAACAAACACCAGGCGCCTTTTTGCCTATACAAGAGAGAATCTTGGCTGACATCGTAATTGTGCTCCTCCTGTCTGTTTCCTTTTATTGTCTCGAACTATTTGCTAGAGTTTCCTCTATTTACTTTGTTAAGATTATTCTTATGTCAATGTTAGTTCATGTAGAGATGACGACATAATCCACAAAGAGATATACCAAGGAAAACTCTTCTTATTAGCAACTGACCGGGCCGAATTTTGCTTGCATGCTTCTCCAAAAAGAAAGGTTACCTCAAAAGAGTTGAAAAGAAATTCATTTTCACCTTGCACATGGGACACAAATCAGGTATCCCTTTTTGGAAAATGTAATACTTTGACTTGTTGTTTGTGATCATAAAGAACAATGAGTCTAGCCTTGTGTCCAATTTTAACTAATCTGCATAAATGCATCGTACAAAATTACAAATTGCCATTGTTTCTCACTTTACATCTTGTCTTTCCTGAGTATTTTGTTAGATGATCCTCTCTCTCTCTCTGATCTGCGATAAGTTACAGTGAAAGCTGACAATATTTAGTGCTAACAGATGTGGGAACTGAATCATCATGGGACGCTGAAAAATAGTTATTCCGGCCTATGCGCGACTGTGAATTCTGCTGCAGGTGATCAAGTTTAAACTAAATGCTTTGTGTACATTAATTTGATGGCAACTTTTAGAGCAATCTTTTATTCCACATGCCATTTAACTTGTGAACCGATCCTTGACGCAGCTAAAGTCAATCCCAATGGAATTCGTTCTTGGATCGCAACTGGAAGAAGAGGTTTGATCGCTTACCCCACACCCCACACCACACCCTAACCTAATGAAAAGAACATCTTAGAAATATTTGCTAGGGGAAAAAAATGGTCTAGCAGGTTACTTCTGGGATTATTTTAAATACTTCTAAAACATAATAAATTTCTATCATGTGGAAAAATTTCTGTAATACATATTTCCACAGATTACTCCGTGGTCTCCAAATAAAGCTGTGGAAACATTTGGTTTTCGAATAGAAAAGATGATGAGTAAAACTAGAATGGAAGCATATTTTCATACCAAGGATGAAAATTAGCAATATGCCAACACAAGTGCGAAATTCAGCCCCTAGTTTTGCTGATGATGAGTAAACTAGAATGGAAGCATATTTTCATACCAAGGATGAAAATTAGCAATATGCCAACACAAGTGCCAAATTCAGCCCCTAGTTTGGCTTTCTTTCCAATGGATGCCATAGAAGTCTCAATCCCACAACAACCTTACCCTTTTTGTTTCTTCTCAGGAGAAGTATATGTTGCTTTTTTCAACCTTAGCCCAGTGAAGACAGTAATAACGGCTAAGATATCAGACCTGGCCAAGGCACTTCCCGGCGCAAAGTTGAGCGAAGATTCGTGCAAGTACAGAGAATTGTGGTGTGGGAAGGACTTTGGGATAGCAAAGCAGTCAATTTCAACGGAAGTTGAAACTCATGGGACTGCTTTGTTTGTATTGAACTGTGCTGGTGCTGGTGGTGATGGACTGTAGACAACAAAAAAAGCATGGTCTTGTAGTAGAGATCATGTCAATGGGGGCGCACGCGTGAGAAGCATCATTCTCTATTTATGGCCATAACAATGTCTTTTGTAATACCCAAAAAGCAATGATGTAATGATCATTGCTGTTGCTTTAGCAGTGAAATGACGAGTGATTAGCTCATAATATGTAAAGAATGTGGGGAAAATGAGGTATTTTATAAACAAAATCTTTGAGAGGTTAGTGAAGTAATGAGGATAGAATTGGGGTGAGTGTAGAGCCATACCACTTTAAAGGGGTTGGTATTGGCATACAACACTTGGGAGGATTTGCTGATAAAAATATAAAAGAAAAAAAAAAAAAAACCCCTTGGGAGGAATTGAGAAACGCTAGAGGAAAAAATACGACGTGTCGTTTCTTGACTGAAAAATGTCAAGTCGTTTTATCATATAGAATTAAATGACATGTTGTGTATCATGCTAAAAACGACATGTAATGTCCACTTAGACGAACGTCGGTAGCTGCCGTAACAAGACAAGACAGAGAGAGAGAGAGAGAGAGAGAGAGAGAGAGAGAGAGAGAGAGAGATATACTGATTCACTGAAAAAAAAAGAAGAAAAAACTGAAATACTGAATGTCATTTGCGGTTTCCATCTTGAAAATTGACATTCCTTTTTTCAGCTGAAATGACATGTCTGGTAATTTATAGTTTGTTGTAAACAAACAAGGTTATGTCGAGGCAAAAACACGTCGCTCACACGTTTAAACCACATGTCGTTTGTTTTTACCATGATACATCTGGTCATCAAGTGAAGTTTTTTGCAGATATAAAGAAAGGGTATTTTACACATTTTCCCTCTGAACTTCTTTGGTTTTGCTATTTGCATTTTTAATTTTGACAAGTTGTCTCGTTAATTTATAAACTTGTTGTAATATGCTTTATTTTGACAATAATTGTGTCAAATTAATGTTAAAAAAACACGTTCGATAAAAAATTTTAACATCCCAATTTAAATATGCATAAATCTTTTAATTTCTCAACTTTTAATTCTTTAATTCTAACAAACAATTTGAGCAAATTTAGTAAAATTTAGCAAAATGGAGCATATTGTAATATTTTTATAAGTTTGAGGGGTTTAATGCCAAAATTAAAAATTTGCGGGGTAATTTATTAAGTTCAGAAGGTAATTGTGTTAAAAACTTATAAAGAAGAGAAGTATGTAGTACAATAAGTGACAAACAAACGAAGAGAAAAAAAGTCATACCAGAGCTTATACGTGATTATTCGTCTTAACAAAAGAATAGAAAAGAAAAGGCAACAGGAAGTAGTGGTCTAGAAAATCTGAAAACTTTCGGGGCTGTTCTTTTGCCCGGGCTGTTCTTTTGCCCTTTTTGAGTTAGGTGACTTGAGTTTAGATTTTGAGTTGAGTTTGAGTTATAACTTGAGTTGAAGTTATAACTTGAGTTTGTGTTTGGTTGTGTACATTTGAGTTATGATTTGAGATAAAAACCTTTTTGAGTTTGTGTTTGAGTGAATCAAAACTTGAATTTGTATTTAGATAATATTTTAATAAAAACTCAATGCTGATGGAAAATTTTAATAGGGTATATGGGTGGAGTTTTATTCATCTTTTCGTTGTCAACGCATAGAAAAAAAATCATCTCAATCAGAATTAAAACGAAAAAGTTATAACATTTTTAAGAATAGAAAAAATATTGTTCATTAATTTGAGTTCGAGTTTCTGAACTCGAGTTGAAGGGAAAACTTGAACTCAAATTTTAGTCCCAAACTCGAGTTCAAACTTAAAAGAATATAAACTTAAATAAAATTATAACTCAAATTACTTTTTTTAAATTTTTAACTCAAAAAAATGACCGCCTAACAGTCCCTTCTTTATTAAAGAATTAGTATGGATTCATAAGTACCCTTGTCCGTCTATCACGAAACAGTGATTTTTTTTTTTCTCTTTTATAATCGTTCTTAGTTAGAGAAGAGTGTAGATATATTAGTTTACTTTTGTTTCGGAAATCACAAGATTTTAAAAGTGTTTTGAGCACATAAACTTTTTCATTATGAGCGCGTTTGTAACTCATTTTAAAATAATTTTATTTTTTGTATGAAAATGAAAACGTTTTCAATCTCAGATAGAAATCATTTTTAAAAATGCGTTTGAAAATGCATTTGATAGTTTTATCAAGATATTATTTTCAGTATAAAAAAAATCTATTAATGTCTCTCTTTCTCTCTCTTTACTCGAGAGAGCAGAAAAAGAAAATAAAAAATAAAAAACGACTAAAAGTCATTTTTCGTTTCTCTTATTTTACACTAAATTAAAAAATTATTTTCATTTATATTTTTTATTTTTATTACGCCAAAAGTTATTTTAAAAATATTTTTATTTTTTTTCCTAAAAAAACATAAAAAATAAAAACGGAATCAATTCCAATCTCTATATATATATATTGACTAGTGGTATGGCCCACTTTGCCATTTGCGAGAGACACAATATTCATCACGATCGTTAGAATTTAGGCAACACGACAGAAACGTCATAAGAAATATGACTTGGTCGAAGAGATTTTAACAAGGGAGAACATCTATTTTTGAATCGTCATGAAAGTGGTACGTGATTTGTAAGTATCTTCTTAGTTCTTATATTAAAATATGAACTTCCGTGTCGAAAATAGTTAGCCATCGTATCAAAAGGTAAGCAACAGTTGGTTAGTGGAAAACTTAAACATCACCCATTTTTCGAACCATGATTATCTAACTTTAATATAAGAGAATTTCTCTCATAAGTTTAGGAAAAATGAATCTTAAGTAATTTTCTACTTTTTAATTTTTAAATTTATATTAAAAATTATTTATTCTACATATTTCTTTTAATCTGATGTTAATTTAGTCGACTCTAACAGTTAATAACCAATACTATCGGTGAGAAAATCTACGAGAAAAAGTCGTTATAAATGGTCGATACTTGATCCAACATCTTCCTACATATATTCTCCACATGCATAAGATTTATATCAATTTTCTTTTCCACATATTTATATATTAAATTATAAACACAAGCAACCGACCTTAGTGAATTTGATTAAAAATCACATAAAAAAAATAACATAAATGATCCAGAATATGATAATTTAAACAGAGCATACTAATGGGGTACTTTTTATATTTTACCATACAATTCTCTCTATCATTTTTTTTTTGTTACACTAACATCATAAATGTACAACTAGATTTTAGACCTAAATATTATTGACATGTTCTTTGGATATTTTCATAAATATTTGAGGCACATTCTTGATACATTTTAAAGGTCAAATGCCAAATAAAATTAGACTATAGTTAGGGGACTGAAAATGAAATGAACCCCGGAAAATATTATCATCAATTCATCATCCACCTACAAATACACAAACTAGTTAAGTGTTTGATTCTCTTTGGTATGCTATATGTTGCTAAAGGTCATGATCCGATCATTCACGTCCTTGCTTGGCAAATGTACTACTCTACACACATCATGTATTGTCTTGCACCACAATACAAGTAAATGCAACAAAGACGTGAGCTTTTGGCATTTTTAATGTCATAACAAATACTTTCTCTTTAGTCATTTTCTTTCTAAAGTTCTATTTTTTAGATATTTCTCTAGTAGGCTTACGTCTATTGATAATGTTAGTTTTTAATTGTTAAATCTAGGGGTGTTCATAAACCCGAACAACCCGCAAACCCACCCCGCACCGCCCCAATCCAACCCGAAAAAAGCAACCCGCAACATTATTTTTTAATTTTCGGCCCATTAGACCTCTGGCCCGAAGTGTTTGGGGCGGGTTGTGGGTTGGGCTCATAACAACCCGCAACCCCAACCCAACCCGCAGAACACATCCCCAGTTCGGCCCAACCATTAATATTACTTCCAGTTCCAGGCCCAGCCCACGCCAGGAATCACTCAGTCCTGAATTTCAGGCTGCCCACTCCCAGCAGGCCTTCGGCCCATTCAATTCATTACCGCATTACTTTAGGCCATTAGCCATTAGGGCAGAGTCTCTCACACAGTCATACTCCCTTCCCTCATCATTTCACAACTCTCTCGTGTCGTGTCTCACTCTCGGCGGCCGCCCC